ATCCCTGGTGAGGTTAGGGGGAGGGTTGGAGGAGGAAGGAAGGGGAGAGAGAGAGAGAGAGAGAGAGACACTCCACTTTCCAGATATAAAATATATACCATAGTCATGCTCCCAATTAATCACTTCCTCCATTCATATCCTACCTGCCTCCAGGTACCACTCAGCTAATCTCATCAGGGATTAATTCACTGATTAGGCTTAGGCTATAATAACCCAGTGATTTCTCCTCCAAATCTTCTTTGCATTATCTCAGACATGATCGTTTGTGTGACTCCTCACATCCAAACTATAACAGTCAGGCTTAGGGTTGGGTTGTATGGGTTTCAATTCAAACTGCACCTGCCAGGCACCAGAGGAATTGGCCCAGGGTTCTGGAAAGGAAAACCTTCTAGGTCCTGGATGGTCAAAGGGCACCAATTAGAAAAAACTGGACTGTGTTTTAACAGATAGTTCTTGAATTCCCCACTACCTTTTAAGACTTTAGGTCCTTAAATTGGAGAAAACTATGAATTCAAGAAACTGCCCAGTGTGGTTGAGGGATAAGGTACATATACCATCAGAAGTTAATTTGTACAAACTTCCAAGAACTATGTTTAATTTCTGTCCAAGTAATTCTGATTTCCAGAATTTGTACCCAAAGAATATGGTCATAAGTCTGTTTATCATGACACTGTTTTTTTCCTCAAAATAATAAAAATATTACATATAAATGTAAATGTTCATTCATCAGAAATTAGTTAAATGGCTTATGGCATACATGATAGAAAATTAGTCACTAAATATATGAATATAAAATAAGGAGATATAATCACTAAGTCCTATTAAGTTTTATTTTTTTTAGAGAGAGAGGAGAGAGAATTTTTTAATTTTAATTTTTCAGTTTTCAGTGGACACAACATCTTTATTTATGTGGTGCTGAGGATCGAATCCAGTGCCCCGCACATGCCAGGTGAGCGCGTTATCGCTAAAGCCACATCCCCAGCTCCCTATTAAGTTTTAAAAAGCAATTTACGAAACAGAATGAATTTTTTAGTACTCTGCTAACTATTTTGTAAAGCTCTAGCATTTTAAGAACATGCAGCAGGGGTCATGGACATCACAGAAGTGACCTTAAACAATATAACTCTTTCATCTGCTAAATATTGGTTCAGTATGCTGAGATTGTTTTTTTCTTTTTTAAGAAGCTGGTGCTTTAAAAAAAAAAAAATCTGTGAACCGCTGGGACACATTACCTCAAATATGGCATGTAGATATGCATCTACAGGATATACACACAAGCTTAGAATGGGATATACCAATATAGTAACAGGTATAAATAGAAAGATTACTTAAAATCTTTGCTTATATTTACTCTTTTAATTATCTACAGTGACACTAAGTTACTTAGTAAGGGGAAAGAAAAGTATTTTTTTTAAACAAAAGTTGGTACAATTTACATCATAACTACCATAAGCAAAATCAAAAGATAACCAACTAAATAGGAGAAAATTTCACAGTGTGGGAATGGTGGCTCTTGGGTGGCAAGAGGCAGGAGGATCACAAATCAAGGCCAGCTTTGGGAACTTCGCAAGATCCAGTCTTAAAATAGAAAAAGGACTGGGGATGCAACTTAATGTAGAATGCTTGCCTAGTATACACAAATCCCCGAGTTAAATTCCTAGTACTACCTTTAAAAAAAAAAAAAAAAAAGTCCAGGCACCATGGTACACACCTGTAATCTCAGCAAACTGGGAGGTTGGGGCAGGAGGATCACAAGTTCAAGGCTATCCTTGGCAACTCAGTCAGACCCTATTTCAAAAAAAGGTGGGGGTGGGGTGGGGGGAGTGGGGATGTGGCTCAGAGGTAGAGCAGCCCTACTGGGTTTAATCCCCAATACCAGAAAGGTGTGGGGGGGGAGCCCCAAAGCCTCCAAACCATTAAAAATTTAGGGGCAAAGGCCCCCAAACCTGGTAGTTAAGTAGAAAAAAGAAAGGAACAGCCAAGAGGATTCCTCAACCATTGACTCTGATAATGTTCTGCATGCTGGCCTGTGCTTTTAGCTCTCTCCCTTAAAAAGGGCAGGCAGGACATGCTGACAGACACAGGCTTACCTGACAGACATGTCTGAAGAGTGACAGGGACCTCTGGTCCAGTTCTCCCTTGCATAGCACATGAGAGTGCAGGTAAAGAAGGGCATTCATTAGCAGCTGTTCGCGGGTGGGGCAGGGTTGCTGGCCCATGCCTTCTGATTCCTTTCCTCTTGAGCGGTTAATGTTCAGTTTTCCAAGGCCTCGAAGAACCTCCTCTGACTTCACTGAGCACAAGACATCTGCGTGAGCATAGTAGGTCGGGAAGGTGGGGCCCACTGATGGAAAAGCCAACAAAGCCATAGCCAAGGCACCCAGCCTGTCGGGACAGATCACACTGCTGTGCAGTGAGGTATGGACCTCAGATGCTACTAGCCTCATGCCATGCTGCAACTGTAAGATGGAAGCCTGTAGTGGAATCACAGAATCTGGGTAGAGGGCATATTCTTCCCCTAGCCTTTTCCTGAACTGGTGGTGCGACTGCTGCCAAGAGGCCTCTTCTTTTAGAAGGCTCTGGACCACCTGGGCAGACCGTGGCCCATCTGCATGGAGAACCTGCAGCAGCCGCGTAAGCAGATCCTGAATAGCAGTGGCCTTGGCAATGCTGGTGACATAGTGGTGGATCTCTTGCACCAGAGACTCATAGGCAGGCAGCTGGGGTCTGAAGGCCTGCTTCTTCGACAGGCTGCAGATTAAGTTCTCTAGGTAATTGATCCTTTGACGAAGTAACCTGAAGGCAAATTAATATAATTTGCAAATTCTGTTAGAAAAAGAACAGCAAATCTGGACTGAACCCTCAGCTAGGAAAATGGAATGAATGAAGACTTATCAACTGCCGAGAAATAACATGAGAATGATATTGAAAATTATAGTGAAAATGATAGTACATACAGAATACCTATCCTGTGCCACACATTGCTAACATTTTAGATGCATATCTCATCCAAAGGAGGTACAACAAGTATCTCTCTTTTGTGGACATGGACACTGAGGCGTAATGGCATTTAGTGAGCTACCCTATTGTCTATAGTCAAAGGAAGGTCAGGAAAAGACTGGGACTCTAAGCTAAGGGAACAGATCTGTAGCCAAGAAAAGCAAAGAAATAAAGTGCACATCATTTGCATCCAACTTGTTCCATGTTGAGGAGTAGCTCTGGCTTCAACCATCTTGATCCCACGTAAATCCACACCTTGAATGTCTTTCCCCTCCTTTTAGAACATATCGTTTTCTTGATTATAATGAAGGATTTGGGACCTAATTGCTAACATAGCTCAAAGATGTGCATCAATTCACTAACACTATAATATTACTACAAAGGTCAGCCTTATAATGTCTTTTTTAAAAGTAGAGACAGTAATCTCTAACACAAATAATCACTTTGCTGACTTACCTGATGTGAGGATGAGAATAATTGATAATTACTTCATTTTCCAGGTCTCTTCCAGTTTGTAACTGAGATGATAAGTTCCGGGTCTTCCATTCACACTGTAGCTGGTGTAACTAAAGGAAAAGAGAAAATAGTCTGGTGTGTCCCACTGATGACCATGCACAAGAAAACAATGCCCCAGGAGTGTACAGCAACAGGATAGAAGGAATTTGGATTCCTGAATGACCTAAGGATAGGTGGCTCTGCTTCACTAAACTAGACCATTTACCTCAGAGTTATTAGGCAGAAGAAACTTTCATGCCACTAAATCTGAGTCTTTTTACAGCAGCTTAGCCTTCACCCCAACTAATATAACATTCCTTCCTCATCATACAGTACTAGTATGTCGTTATCTTAATGTATTCAATTCTTGACTTTGTTTGGAAGTTCAAATAACAAGAGATACTACATTATTTGATTCCTGAGTTTTATATAACAAACACCAAAACTTCAGAAATCCTAGGTTATATGGGTACTACATCCTACCTAAAGAAGTAATTTGAACCCAAATATCCAAAACCTAGCTCAGAGTCTGGATAGTGAGGAATTCCACTATTTCTCTGACAATGCCTCAGGTTGCCCTCTGCTTACTGCATCTATTGGAAGATGTATCAGAACCTTAGGAAGGTGCCCTCTCAGAGTCTAAGTCTATCTAGAGGAACTCTCAAAGCAGCAGCAGCAGTCTTAAAACAGACTCATTGGAAGTCATAGGCAGTTCACACAAAATGAGATCTTTGATCATCTCATTAGCCAAAAGGGAGTAAAAGGAATAACACCCTAAGCAAATCCAATGCATCAGAAACTGAGCACATATTCCAAACTCTTGCCTCTCATACCTCTTCCTTGGCATACTTGAGCTTGCATTCCCTCTTCACTGCAGGGTCAAAGCGTGCCTGAGGAAGCCAGGTCTGAATCTGGAGCAAGCCAAGGCTCACCCAGAGGGTCCCACGCTGGGCTGGTTCAGGCAGGTTTCTCTTATTCTCCCCTTCCCCAAAAAAGTGGTGCAGGGAGGTGAGAAACAGGCAGAGTAGTTCCTTGGGCAGTGCCTCCTGACCAGCCATATCCCCAAGAGTCTGGATCACATAGTGGAAGGCCTGGCTGTCTCTAAGCAGCAGTTGCTCACAGTTCTGTACGTACTCCTGCTGCTGGGGTTCTGGGAGCAGCTCTGCTAAGCCCGCTAGGTGTCGGCACAGCACTAGTCCCTGGAGCTGGGAGTCTGTGTGTCTGTTGGGACAACAAGGAAACACTTAAGGAATTGCTGAATCAAATAGGATCACTTTTTACACACTCTCATTCTTCCAAGAAATTTTAACTGCATACTGCACAGTCAACATTCAACAAGATGAACTTCAGTTCTCATATAATCTTTCTGTGATTTTTTTCTAAGCACCATCTTCCTGATCATAATATGCATTTAAAAAAAAAAAAAAAAAGGACCAGACAGCTCATGATGGCGTTGTCATGGACTGAGAACATGCTGACCCACTCAGCAAACACCCTCACTTTCACACACCAAAGCCAGCCATGTCAGAAGCAATTCTGACTGAGTCCCTGTTAGAGAACATTCATGAGCTTCATAAACTGCTCCCAGGGACAAGGAATACCTGAATTCTGCTATTAAAGGGACAGCCATGTTGGTCCAAAGCAATGAGTTGATGTCCCGTAGCTGCTGGGCTCTTTCAACCCACTCTCCCAGTGTGACATGTGAAGAGGACAGGACTGGGAGACCACTCACATCCCAGGAAATTGCTCTGCAGCTGTTAGTCAAGACTTCAAAGCAGCACTTGGAGAATGTGGCTCTACAGAGACTGCCAGGGCCCTGAAGGATAAGAAAAAAAACAGTATCTTTCAGAAATCAACTAAAACAATTTCAACAAGCAGCACTTGGGACACCTTCAAGGAGGAAACAGAGTAAGGAGGTTCAAGTTGTTCAGAACAGTCACAGATGGGACAGGAAGAACAGGAAGGAGTGAGCTATTAGTAGCCTTAAAGGAATGTGGACTGCATTCTCTCAGAAATGAGCAATGAGTGCTGTAGTACTATACCAGAAAACCCCAAAACCGGGAAATCAGGGAGACCATTCTTGTAATAGACAGGGAGATGAGAGTTGGAGGCAGGGAAAGGAGTTGCAAGGCCAATCTAAGAGCCAGACATAAAGTCTGTCAAGCATGCATTCACTGGACTATTAATCTGAGACTCAGTAATAGCTGCCCACAGTAAAGAGTCAGGTGGTCAAAAACATAAGATAGAAAATAGGAAACACAGTGTACTTCATGCAACTCCTAGGGATCCATACGGTTTGTTACTTAAGGCTGTAAGAGATGTTTTACAATGATGATAATAATTATGATAAAAGCAATAGAATAGAGCTCAACAATAATTCTGTGAGTATTTGTGGGATTAAGGTGTATAATAAAGGTGGCTTTTCAAATGAGAATGGAAAGGATTAATCAAAAATAGTGTTTATAAAGTGATTTTAGATCTATTACTTGTATAAAAGAAAAAACTTGCCTCCCTTTTGAACAAAAGATAAACAGATAATGAATTTAAACACAAAAAACAAAAACACTGGAAAAAATATGGGGAGACTGTTTTTACTGTAGGAATGGTGAAGGAAAATAGTCTTTAAAAAGCATGACAACTAAGCATGAAGACAAGACTGGCATAGTTAAAAAGAAATTATCATTATAACATTATAACATTAATAATTTGAAAGACAACAGAAGACTAGAAATACACTTCAGACCTTATGGAAAAAGGATTAATGTCCATAATATAAAAAGACCTTTAATAATTAAAATGATACTGAACAATCCAATATTTAAAAAACTGGACAATGAATATGACTAAAAAGTTGGTAGAATAAAAAGGATCAATAAATGTAAAAAGATGTTCAATCTTAATAATTATCTAAGAGGTATAAATTCAAATAAGGGTTTTAAATTGTAGAATTGGCAATAATTAGACATGTTGATTACACCTAGCATGGTAAGCATGTGGGAAACAGGCCCTCCAACAGATCAGAAGTGAAACTGTATTCTGGTCCTGAACCTTCTATGGTGGCCCAGAGCTCCAAAACTTCTGTTTTAGTCAGTTCCTTGCATGTTTACAAAGTAAAAAAAAGTAAAGCACCTCCTCAGAAAGCCTAAAAAGAGCTATCTGTATATATTAGGCATATATTATTTGTTTTTTTAATATGTAATCACATTGACCATGGGTTAAAACCTAATTCCAAAAAATCACCCACAGAAATATTCAAGACAAATGCCAGATTATACAAGGATAGTAAATGTAGCTAGGCTTGTTAAAAGAGGAAGAAGAAAACAAACCTCAAAACTTATCAAAAGAAAAGTGATTAAATAAATTGTGGCACATCAATACAATGAACTAATGTAACCTGGAATGACAAACACATTTCCATGACACATTTGTGAACAAATAAAGTATTATTTTTGTTCATATAAATAATACTATTTATTCTCGATGTGGCAGCATATGTTTATAATCCCAGTTACTTGGGAGACTAAGATGGGGACGATCTCTTGAGCTCACAAATCCAAGACCAGCCTGGAAAACATAGCAATACCTCATCTTAAAGAAAAGCAAAAAAAAAAAGCATGAGTAAATAAACAGAGATACAGATTAGAGTGGTTATTTCTAATAAATTAAATGAACATACAAACATTTCTGTGGTTAAAATGTTTTATAATTTTAAGAAATGAAGACTTTTTAAAGGAAATCTTTATGGCTTTAACTCAATTAAAAAAATCATTTAAGATGAAGAATACATTTTTTGACAACACACTTTTTTAGCATCATGAAGAAAACAAAGTATCAAAATCACCTATTTATAGTCAACTATTTTATTCTAGGAATAAATGATTACTAACAGAGTTATTGGGAATTTTTTTTTAACCTACTACCATCAGTTTTATGCCAACAAACCTTTAATGTAGAGTCCAAAAGGGACTTGGGCATCTCCCTCTGCTGCATATTGGGCAGAGGGTTCCATGTTAGCCAGTACTCTGGATTTGTGGTCACAGTACTGCTCCAGAAAGACATAAATGTGGAATTAAATAACTCAGACCACAAACAAGTAATTTCTTCAGCAGATCCCTAGAGATAAAGGAATAAAAAAATTTATGAGAATGATTCCATAAATTATGGTCTTTGTTGTTTAAGATCTATCTAAAACTAACATGGATTTAAAGATATTATCTTAATTTTCCTAATTCTCTGCCACCTTGGTCATCTTGGTGGAGTCATATACCTTGTTTGTAAGTTTAATCACACTAAGTAAAATCTGTTTTTATATGTTTTTATAAGGCTGCACGAGGAAGTATAAGCAAAGCAGATTGCACAATTGTAACATTATCAAAATAAATAAATGTTCTTATAATGTATTTTTGAGAAAATGCTTTTCACCTCACTTAACTGGAACCCAAACGAATACTGCTGTGATAAAAACTGTACAATGCCATTGTAATTACTGCAAAAGAAAATTCAAAATTCTCCTACATTAAGAGGTAATTCAGATAAGCCTGGGTATTGCAACATGGAATTTTTTTATTAAATGCACAAAATTGTTCTACAACCAATCTGCCACAGAAAATTTAATCACATAGTGTGAAAAGAGGCTTATTTCCCTTTCTGATTTTGGTTTTTACCTTCTGATGATGCAGTAAAGACCACAGGTCTCGAAGCTCTTGAGGAGCAACTGGTGTGTGCTGAAGACAAAATGTGATGTGATGTCTTATCTCCTCTATCAGAGGTTGCTGATTTTTGCTGAACCTGTTCCAAAATACACAGTGAGAGGCTTGGGTTTGGACTGTCAGTAAACTACTAGAGAATTTATATGTGAGGGAAGATGAAACACACAAAACTTAGGGTACATTTATTTAAAAATAAGCAACTCTACTGGAAAAAAATTCTAGTAACTTTTAGGGGAGAAGCTGAAATAAAGAATCTTTAATAAGATCTGGCTTTCAAAAATAGCAAGTGACCTTCCTGTGCCTCAGCAGCTATACCTCCTTATGTCTGTGCTTTGTTTACAATACAGGAAACACAAAAAAATCTATCAAGAAAATAACTGAAAGAATGGCATACCTTCTCAAATAAGCCTGTGTCATAAAATCAGCTGTCACTTTGTACTGCCAAAGCATAGCCAAGTATTCCATTGCAGGCCATAATTGAACACTCCTGGTGAGTTGAATTAAAGAGGTAAAGTCTGGCTGGGGTGCAAAGGAAGCTTCACCATGCTTTTTCTCCGGAAAACCAAGTGAAAGTCCTTTGGCCTTGAGTTCTAAACACTGAGCACTCACAAGATTCTTCAACTCATCTTCAATTCAGATAAAAAAGAAATGTTGTATTAGAGAAGAGATGGTTAAGAGTTCAGGGTCTAGATTCCCAACAGTTGGCAAAGTGACTATGAGTTTAACATGAGTTAATCAGAGTTAGGCTGCTTAACCTAAGCTCCAAGTTTCTCATTTGTTAAATGATATTAATTTCTGCAAAATTCTAATGAATGGAGTTAAACAATGTATGTAAATTTTAGCTCAATGACTGACATTTATTTAATGGTATTTACACTATACCAAAGTGGGGAAAAATCTAAGGCAAAAACTTAATGGCAGCAGGTAAGAGGATATGCTCAGAGTGTTGACGGTCATTCAAATACCAGAATATATTACCTAGATTGACATCTTCTAGAATATTAGCTCTGAGGATCAATCCCCAGGCCTGCAGGAGACTTTTCTTTAATGTCCACTCAGAAGCAACCACTTGGAGACGACTGAAATCTTCCTGCCATCCACTCTCCCCAACGATAGGCATCTGCTCTCTGATGGCAAGGGCTCTGTTGAGGATTCTCAACTGTGAAAAACACTCTACCACTAGCTTGTCCTGAAACAATAAAACCCAGGAGAGTCTATTAGAGAGCTGAACTATGTTTTTTTTTTTTTTTTTCAGCACCCTAGATTTTTAGAAAAAAAAAAAAAAATTTAAGATTTTTTTTTTCATGCTTCTAGAAAACACAGGGTTTCTTTATTCATATTGCTCTGGAGAGATTCTAGAGTAATAAAGTTAGAGCTCTACCCAGCCTTAGCCTCAGGAATAAGTAAAATGATAAAATTTAACAAATACATTAGCAGCATTCATTGAACAGTTATGAATTAAGCTTTGCAGTAAGGATGAGTCTGGCTGAATGCCAGATCCCACGTGCCAGAGTTTTAGAAGAACTTGATTCTTTTAATTTACTATATGTTTCCAGGTATACCTTGAAAGGAAATGGTCGTCCCAGGAACTTCTGCAACCTCTTTATACCAATGAAGCCACCAGTTGGGCTACCAAGACAATTTTGAATATGTTCTGACACGGTCTGAACCTCTTTGTAATATCTTTAAAGGAGAAAAAGAGCAGAAGGGAAATAAGGAGGAAATGCTGGATAGGAAAAGAAGTCATTTACATTCAATATTTTCTACAGTATGCCAACAGAATAAACCAAAATTAAATAAGAAATAGCAGTTTTAATTCTAAACCCTCTTATCTTTACAAATATTATTCCCTAAATATGAGTCTTACTTGTCTTCATGATTCATCAGGCGTTGGGGGATTTGATGGACTAAATGTTTTAAAACCCAGTGCCAATGGAGAGCAAGCAAAGCCAGACCTGGAGCATCCACTTTTACTGTGTCAGCCACAGTCCAAAACCGGTCCCGCCATCTTAAAGAATCTAAGATCTAAAAACAAAATAAGCCAAGACTACTCACAGACATCTCTTGAAAGGACTCAACTCAACTTACATACACAAGAGGTTTAAAGGTAGACTAGAAAATTTGTTAAGAAAATTAAGGCAGACAAAACAAAAGCCTTTTTTTTCTTTGTACTTCAAGTACAAAGAATGAAATTATTGGGTCATATAGTAAACTGTATATATCATTTCATGAGAAATTGACAAATGCAACACAAAGCAGCTGTTTTGTATTACAACCAGCAGAGAAGAGTCCCAGTTGTTCCAGTTCCTTCTCAGTCACTAATTGCCAATCACTAGCTATTGTTAATGATTTTAATTTGAGCTATTTTGATGAGTGAAAACTTACTGCAGTTTTAATTTATATTCCTTTGATAACTGCTGATATAATAATTTTTCAAGTTCTTACTAGGCATTTATATATCTTTGGAGAAGCATCTATTCAAATCTGTTCATTGTAAAAATTGGGTTGTCTTATTATTATTAGCTATCTTACATAATTCATGTATTTTGTAAACAATTTCACAGATTTTTCTTAGAAGTACTGATGAATGTAAATTTTGAATGTTGACAAAATCTAATTCATTAGTTTATTTTTTCTTCTATGAAGATTCTAAGAAATCTTTGCTTATCCTTAAATTGTAAAGGTTTTCTCTTAATTGTTCATAGTTTTAGTTTTTTTATTAAAAGGCCTCATTCTATTTTGTGTGTGGGGTCCTGCGGATGAAACCCAGTGGCATTCCACCTTTGAGCTTATACCCTTCATCCTTTATTTTGAGAAAGAGACTACGTGTTGCCCAGACTGGGCTCAAACTTCTGTTTATCTTGCATTGCTTCCAAGTCACTGGGATTATAGGCATGTGAACCATCCAGCTTAGGTTGAGGTAACTTGTATGTAATAATGAGGTAGGGGGAGAAGCTTATTCTTACTTTATGTGGACATCTAATTCCATCACTATTTGTTGAAGAGAATGTTTTTCCTCTATTAAATTACCTTTTCATATTGGCAAAATAAAAGAAAATAGACCACATACATGGAAGCACATTTGTGAATTCTGTTTTGTTTCAGTGGTCTACATGCCTATTCTTGGACTATACCATACCATTTTCATTAATGTAGCTTTGTAATACAAATCATGTAACTGAGTCTCCAGCAATGCTATTTATACTAGTCTCTAGTGATTATCTTTATGAGCTCTTTCAGGTCAAAGCTATGTTATAATAATATGTTATTCACTTATTTTTTTCAGAATTGACATTTAAATTAATTGTATACAAAAAGGACAAACTATGATTGGGTATTTGGCAAAATTATGGTGAGTATAAATGAACAGAATCTGTCACTTCAAGAAAAATATTTGAGAGTATAGTTATCTCTCAGTATACTTGGGGGAAAATAATGCTCAAAATATAATACATGTGGTATATTTCCCTAAAACCTAAACACATTCTCCTGCATACTTGAAGTAATTATCCAAATTATTTATAATACCTAATACAATGTAATTACCATGCAAATAGTTGCTACATTATGTTTATTAGGCGATACTGCCAAGGAAAAAAGTCTACATATGTTTAGTAGAGTTGCAATTAAAACAATTTTTTTCAACCTGAAGTTGGTAGAATCTGAGGATATGGAATCCACAGATACTGATAGACCTAGCCTGATTTTCTCTTAAAATTGGGAGCCATCTTGCCACAAAGCCATGAAAAGATAATTTTGGTTTTACTATAAATTACTGCAAATTCTGAACTAGCTTGGAATGCCTGCCCGGGCCTTGAACTCACCCATGCCTGGTTCTCTCTGACCAGATAGCAGCCCTCTCTTAAACTTTAGTGATACCTCATAAATCTTGGCCTTCCCTGGCCAGATAACAGCCCTCTCTGAGGCTCTAATGACCTTCATAAATTTTGATGTCAGGGCCAGCAAAAATGTAAACTAGCCTTTGTGTTATCCTCCTCAGAGTTTTGTTATCCAAATCCAAAGTGCAAACTAAATAATGGATTATCACGCATGACAAGTTCTGCAAATATGTTTTTCAGGTTTCAAATGGTCACAGTGTAAGTGACCATGACAAACTTTTTGTCAATTTGTGGTGTGCTATCCAAGAATATTCATTATTATAGGAAATAGATATTAAAAGTATTCTTTCCCTTTCCAAGCTCTTAACTATGGGAGGCCAGTTTTTCTTTACAAACTTAAACCCAAACAACATTCTACAAGACATTGAATGCAGAAGCAGATGTAAAAAATCCAGATTTCTTATCCTAAGACAGACAGAAAAAGACTTGGAAAAATGTCAACCAGTTCCACTCTTCTCACTAATTTTTATTTTCAAAAACAGCTCTGTTTGGACTGAGGTTGTAGCTCAGTGGTGGAGAGCTTTTCTCTCACATGTGAGGCACGGGGTTCCATCCTGAGCACCACATAAAAATAAACAAAATAAAGATATTGTGTCTGGGGGCTGGAGTTGTGGCTCAGTGGCAGAGTGCTCGCCTAGTACATGCAAGGCCCTGGGTTCGATCTTCAGCATCATATAAAAATAAATTAATAAAACAAAGTTATTGTCCATGTACAACTAAAATTTTTTTTTAAGATATTGTGTCTATCTATAACTAATTTTTTAAATTTTATTTATATGAGATAGTATGCTGTTTTTAAGTCCTTTGGGTATAGACTGAGGAGAGGGATAGCTGGGTCAAATGGTGGTTCCATTCCCAATTTTCCAAGCAATTTCCATACTGCTTTCCATGTTGGCTACACCAATTTGCAGTCCCACCAGCAGTGTATGAGTGTACCTTTTTCCCCACATCCTCGCCAACACTTATTGTTGTTTGTCTTCACAATAGCTGCCATTCTGACTGGAGTGACATGAAATCTTAGAGTGGTTTGATTTGTATTTCTCTAATTGCTAGCGATGATGAACATTTTTTCATTATTTGTTGATTGATTGTACCTCATCTTCTGAGAGGTGTCTGTTCAGTTCCTTGGCCCATTTATTGATTGGGTTATTTGGATTTTTGGTGTTTAGCTTTTTGAGTTCTTTATATACCCTAGTGATTAGTGCTCTATCTGATGTGTGAGGGGTAAAGATATGCTCCCAAGATGTAGGCTCTCTATTCACCTCACAGATTGTTTTCTTTGCTGAGAAGAACCTTTTTAGTTTGAGTCCATCCCATTTATTGATTCTTGATTTTAATTCTTGCACCATAGGAGTCTTAAGGAAGTTAGGGCCTAATCCCACATGATGGAGATTAGGGCCTACTTTTTCTTCTATTAGACGCAGGGTCTCTGGTTGTATTTCTAAGTCCTTGATCCATTTTAAATTTGTGCATGGTGAGAGAGAGGGGTTTAATTTCATTTTGTTGCATATACATTTCCAGTTTTCCCAGCACTGTTGAAGAGGCTATCTTTTCTTCAATGTATGTTCTTACCACCTTTGTCTAATATAAGATAACTATAATTATGTTGGTTAGTCTCTGTGTCCTCTATTCTGTACCATTGGTCTACCAGACTGTTTTGGTGCCAATACCATGCTGTTTTTGTTACTATTGCTCTGTAGTATAGTTTGAAGTCTGGTATTGTGTTACCACCTGCTTCACTCTTCCTGCTAAGTATTGCTCTAGCTATTCTGGGTCTCTTATTTTTCCAGATGAATTTCATGATTGCTTTTTTTATTTCTATAAGGAATGTCATTGGAATTTTGATCGGAATTGCGTTAAATCTGTATAGTGCTTTTGGAAGTATGGTCATTTTGATAATATTAATTCTGCCTATCCAAGATAAAAAATATTTTTTTAAAAATTTGTGTTTTTACTAAAATCAGTCACATTAACATAAAATGGGGTTACTGTATTTTTAAGCAAAGTTATGAATTTTGTTGTTTCTCAGTTTTAGTTCAAAATACGACAGATGTAATGACATAAATAAAATTCTCTGTGGTCTTTAAGAACTTTTCAGATTATAAAGGGACCTCAAGCCTAAAAATTTTAAGACCTGCTATTCTATAAGACTTCCTAGAATAATCTGGAATCAAAATTCCATTTAGCCCATATTTGGCAATGTCTTTTCCTTTCTCCACTAAAAAAAACTTAATTAAATTAAAATCTGTTAAAATCCAAATGTCCATCAATAAGTGAATAGATGAATAAATTATACATTGACAAAGACAGTATCAACAATAACAAGAAATGATGAAATCATATGGGTGCATCTCAAAATGAACTATCCAGACAAAAAGAACATATATGGCACAATTACAGCCAACGAAAATGCACCTGATCTATAAAAGAAATCATATCAATGACCACATAATTGGGTATAGGCAAAAACAAAGGAAGAATAAACAAAAAGGACATGAGAAAATTTTTACATATGTGGCAAATGTTTACTATGTTGATTGTGATAATGGTTTCATAAGTATACCCAACATATGTCAATTATACCTCCATAAAGCTTTAAAATATATGGCTGCATAAATAATACTATTAACAACAGTTAGATCTCTCAAATAATATTTGACATACAAAAGAAACTAAAGTTAGTTTGGTCTCTTAAAAAAAAATCTTTGTGCCAACACAAATATTATTTAAAATAAAAACAGATATAATGCCTCACCTCAATGATATTGGCATCAGACACCACACCTTGGGGGGATTGCACCCAGAGCAGGATTACTGCATCACAAAGTTCAAAAAAAGCAGCAAGATTGACCACAATTTCATGGGGCAGGCTGTGATAGCTCTCTGGATCTTGGAGATGACATAAATAAGAATATTCCATCAGGTTTAAATTCATCTCTAGACATTTTCAAAATAAATTGTAATCTAGAATTTAATGTTATTACTAATCCAAAGATCAATTTGGAAAGGTCAAAAATTAAAAGCAAATTCTGTGCCTATTATTAAATTCAACAGATGAGGTATATATGCCTAAAGATAGAAATAATGTTATATTTCATATTATTTAATGGTGCTGGGGATTGAACCCACGTTTCACATATATTAGTCAAGTGCTCTATTATTGAGCTACATCCCTAATCTCATAAATGTCTTAACAGAAAATGGAAATTATAAAGATGCATATTTCATATAAGGATTTAAATACAAAACAAAACCAAGTGTATATAGGTTTAGATGGATAGTTAAGACAGGTATGAAAAGGTACAAATGAATCTACTACTAATAGTAGCTGCTGTAAGGATCAACTTTTTCAATTTTTACACTACCATAGTTTAAATTATTTTTATTGCTTTTTCAATTTACAAAAGTTAAGGAGGAAGGGAAAAAAGTAATCTTATAACCAAATGCCTCTGAATATGATCTTTTATAACCAACAGGCCTACTTTTCAAGTCCTAGTGCAACTGCTAAAGATGTGATCTAAAACATCTCCATGCCTCCCTTTTCTCATTCATAAAGTGAGGACCTACTTACTTCATAGGATTACTATAGAAAGTAAATGAGATCAAGGACATGTAAAGTCTTTAGCTAATAAGCACCTGGCACAGAGTGAGTGCTTAGTAATTGTTAGTCATTACTACTGAGTAAGAGGACATGGCCTGTTTAAAATCAGGACAACAAATCAGAAGTAATCAAAGTAACAGTTGCTGTTCAATATCTTTCAACATTAGCCACATAATACAATCAGATGCTCCACTGAACAACACAAAAGATAAAGTGTTCTTACCTTTATGAAATTCAAAGGACATTCTTAAAACACTATTTCTTAACTTTTTGCCACCAACAGAAATCAAATTTGTTTCAGTAAAAATTCGTTTTTCCCGGTCAAGATAAACAATTGTCCTGGAACAAGATTCAAAATCACAATAATTACTGGTTAAAGGCAGCTTCCAAAGTGCTAGAGCATACCACACTCATGGGTTCACTTTGGGCATCCTCATCAAAATCACAATTGGTAGTGTACTTTCCTGTAATGAACACTACACTTTAAAAAAAAAATTTGTTACACTGATGGCCAACTACTGGCCAAAAAATTACATGGTAAAAAATATTCGTGGCTGCTACCATAAAAATAAGGAAAGACCAGTTTAAATATAATTATGTAAGTTTACATGTGAGTGTGTACATATATATGCAGGTGCTATGTACATCTCCAACTTCTGAGTATGAGAAATAATGTGGACAGACAGCTAAGGAAAGGACACGTAAGAGAACAAGTAGACAAAAAAGGGAGGAACTGTACAGAATTATAAATATAAACATGGCTATCTATGATGAAAGATTACTTTAAAATAATAAATCCCATTAATGCTAAGATTGAAGGTACTCATTTCTAGCACTTTTATCACTTATTAGGTTCACAAAATAAAACATACAGCTACATTTGACAGAGTCGTATGAAACGTATAATATGTGAGCCAGTGGGATGAACAGAGTCCAGAGCCCGAGGTTTCACCTACTTGTTTGCAACTGATTCTAAAAGGGAAGAGAGCTGCTTGGGCTGGTCCGTTTGTGGATCATAGTCCATTGAATTTCTAATAATGTCCAAAGCCTGTATATTCCACCGGGGGTCCAGAGGGATCACAAAGTCATCTAGTTAAAAAAAAAAAAAAAGTTTTATAGTTAAACACCTAGCCTACAAGTTTCAGTTGAATATTTTCTTTGTTTTACTTGGATCACACTGATTATCTGATGGGGAAGAAGTGAAACAGAAATTCTATGGGTTTTAATTCAGGATACTAGAAAGCAACACTCAATAGCTTTTATTCTATTTCCTTTCTGAATGAAAGGAAACACATCTACAATGAAAGGAAAGCACAACATCTACAAGTTCTGAAAATCCATTTCACTATAGGACAGAAAGAAAAATTCTGCAAATTAAAGGTAATCCCTGCAAGAATATAAACATCCTAATAACGAATCCATTTCCTTAGAGCCCACTTACTGGTCTGAAAAGAATTCCTAGGGACAATTACCCAATCTATCACAATTTACCATCAAGACAGAAACAAAAACAAACTTAAATGGCGAAAAATGAGAGTATATTTTGTTATCTGCTTCCAATAAGAAAAGCATCTCAGGATGTTATGCTTCGAACCAATTTCCCACTCAGACATGGTTAACATATCTGTAATACTAGCTACTCAGGAGGCTGAGGCAGGAGGATGGCTTGAGCCCAAGGGTTTGAGACCAGCCTAGGGAACTTAGCAAGACCCCCATCTTTTTTAAAAAAATAAAATCTTTAGAGTCATATGCTGCTTCATAAACCTTTGACTAAGACTTCGTATGTTTTCTCTAAAGTAGCCAACAACAGCAAGACTCTGACTCTTTAGTTGTGAAAACTCAAAAGAAGGAAATAATACACAAATAATGTAACTGTAATTTGAAGGTTGCTAGGCATGACAGTTCGATGGAATAGTTTAAGAACCATCCACTTCATTGTAGACTACCATGAGCATACTGTGAATGGCAAGGTACTTTAAGGACCTCATATTCCAAAGTCCAGTAATATAGACAGTTACACAAGAGAAAAAGAAAATATTAGAGCTAATGTGTTCCAATAGATAAAGAACAGTGTCTGCTGAAAAATGAAACCTGCTGGTGTCCTTTATATCTGAGTTCCTGAAGACTTCTATACTTGGAAAGCCATGATTTAGTTCAGTCATAATACGACCATAGTTTTCTCTATTATGTGATTTCTTCCAAATATATTCATTGTCTTCAGTGTGCATAAGGTAATTGGTTTAGCACAAAAATATCACACATATTTTTCCCAAAACAAATGGCTAATGGTAATATTTAAGTCAACAAATGAAAATGCAAGTATAAAAAATTAAATTTGCTTTTCTTTATTAATGTTTATGCTCTGTAAACTTTATCTTATTCTGTTTCAAAACTAAAAGTAAGTTTGTTCTCTTATTTGTTATTCTTAAAAAATAGTCATCTTGAATACTTTCCAGTACACTGTATATCATTTTCCTTCAGATAATGGAAGGTTTATATCTAGATATCCTGAACCTCCAAAAAATACTCCTAGAATGTAGATGTGATGGGTGTCTTCCCTATAAACTCAAAAGCCCAAGTTTCTAAAACAGTGGCAAGAGCTAAAATCAAAAGCAGGTGCAAACCTGTTATATTTGCTTGTAATAGTTTGAAGATATTCCTGACCCCAGCTGAGAGAGAATTTGAGTAAAAATTCCTAAGAGATGCAGCACTGGCTTCCAAATTAATTTGTATTGACTCTGTGGAGAAAGAAGAAGCAATGTTAGACTCTAAAGCATTGCTATCCAACTAAACTTTCTGCAATGATTTAAGTGTTCCATATTTGTCACCTCTGAGCACTTGAAATGTGGCTAGTGCAACTAAGACTTAGATTTTATTTAATTTCAATTCTTTTATATTTGTTTATATGACAGTAGCTCTCTGACTGGTGGCTATCATAGAAGACAATGCAGATAAGAATACTTATATAAATTCTCTTTACACATACTTAAGATTACCATGTGTCACATGATAAAAGACAGTCAGTGGCTTACCTACAAGTTCTCTTGGAGTAGAAACGTTCATGTAAACTAGGTAATTTAGTCAACAACTTCTATTAACAAATTTAATGTCCTTTATAACTTAAATAATGTTATTATTGCTTTTTTTTTTTTCCCTCTCTGAATAAAGTACCAAGAAAGTCAGTGTGACAGCTTGGAGCATTGGTATTAAAATGAAATTACAACCATATGTACTTTAAGGAGAAATGAGCTGATCAAAAACAATACCATTCCCAGACAGAATGGCTGTACCCCAGTAGTACAGTAAAAAAGCAAATGTTCAAAACTAAAAAGTAACATAATATAGTACATTGTTTTTTGAATTTGATGAATCTGGAGTACTAAGAATTACACTGGAACAATCATTTATCATGTGAAACATTCAGGGACAGAATTGCTCCTAGCCGTGTGTGGTGGTATACCCCTATGACCACAGCATCTGGGAAGATGAGGCAAGAGGACAAGTTCAAGATCTGTCTCAGCAATTTAGTGACACCTGTTTCAAAATTTAAAAAATAGGGTCTGGGGATATAGCTTAGTTGGCAGAGTGCTTGCGTCACAGGCACAAGGCCCTGAGTTTGATCCCTAGCACCACAAAAATAAATAAAAACAAAAAGGACTGGGGATGCACTTCAGTGGTAATGCACCTTTGGGTTTAATCCTCTCAATACCAAAAAAAAAAGACTTGCTTTTAAATTGAACAACCATATAAATAATAATACTCTGTCACAAACCTCTTGCTACAAGAACTCTCAGTTGTAATTTTGCAAACATAGTCATAGAATAACATAGCTGCTGAGGCATTTAAACAAGATTAAGTGAGTGCATATAAATAGTGCAAATTAAGCTTTTCTACTCACCAAGCCCCTGTGGTATGTTCTTGGCTAAATGATAAAGCCATTTAACTCTGAGCATCCAATCCTGATTTGTTGCTCTTTCTATGAGCAGTTTAACAGCCATGGCCAAAACATCTGGTTCATCGATCCAATATGTTTCCACCTCTACTGCATTGAATTTCAGGTTCTCAGGGTTGGAAGACTGCATTATTTTCTCTAAGTCTTGCAAGGTAAGAGGCTGACTCCTGAAATTCATTGAAATGAGACAAAGTTAATAGTAGAACAACCTTTTATTTCACATTTCAAAGAACCATGAAAACTAATTTGCAAATATTGTAGCAAAGAGGAAAAAATGATGATTCCCCACACAAGGATAATTAAAACATGAACGTACATACACACAACCTTAAAAAATAATAAATGGGGAGGGATACTAAAATAAGCAATAAACAATAAAAATGATAGCTGGATAAATAAATGGCTACATAATATAGGTTGAATATATTGTGTTCTGACCATTACAAGCAAAAGCAAAAATCATTTCAGAAACAAGGAGGCACACAAGCTGTGGGCTCCACTGACCTCACCCAGCTGCTGGTTTTCATGCTCATCCTGTTGAGACAGTATGCTAGGATCTGTCCATCCCTTCGGACAATAGAGAGATGAGAATCTTCGGTAGCAAAGAGAGCTGAGGGCACAGAATCTGGCCACAGTCCCGTGGCAAGAATTGAGTTTCCCCAGGTTTCCCGTGCTCGCAGAGAAGAAACACATTTTTCCAGTAAAGCCTGCACGAGCTGGCAAGAGATAAAACACAGAGGCTAGGGTTCTGGTTCAGTGGTAGAACACCTACCTGGCATGCGTGAGGCACTGGGTTTGATCCTCAGCACCATATAAAATTAATAAATACAATAAAGGTATTGTGTCTATCTATAATTGAGAGAGAGAGAGAGAGAGAGAGAACACACAAGGTACAAAGGCCCCACAGGTAAGTGCTGTTACCAAAAACGTTAGCAGACAAATGTAGGAGTTCTTGGAGTCCACATGACCCTCTCCCAATAACTCTTAGATACATTCTTCAACATTCAATACCAGAAGTTAAATTTAAATTCTACTTTTGATGATAGATGTTTCTTGAAAGGAATATTTATATTTAAGCTATCTTCCAGAAAGTACCTGGACACCAAATCTTCACTAGAGAAAAACTGCAGAGGTCAATTCTCTTACATTGTTAAAGTTGCCATCTATAAGAATAATTTCCCCCTACTCAATAGTACAGTGTATTACAACTTTGAAAGCTGTCCAAAACATTTCACAGTACCTTCTGGTTTGCTGCTGAATGCTGGGAGACAACATATACTTCCCGGCATGCTTCAAAAAAGGCTCTGTCTAAACTCAGCCCTCGCTGCAGGTACTGGACAATGAGTATGGCTGTCTGAATTAGAGTAGACACAGAAGATGCTGGAGAACCTATAAAAGGGAAAATATTGCCATCTATGAGCAACAGATTCTTCAAAACCTCTGATGAAAGTGGAAAAATTCTGCTCTCACATCAAACTTCCTATTAGACAACCCCACCCAAGTATTTACTTTAGTAAATAGCCTCTACATAAGCTAGAATCTCCTGAGGGCAGGAATAATAGACTTTTAAGAACATTCAAATTCCTACCTCCTATGTTTCCTCCCTTCCTCTCTTGTTGATTACCTGCAGTATAATGTGGGGGACCTCTTCACAGGCATGATAAAACCTGACACCTATATCCAGAATCTCATGCCTGACTCACACTGAAGGTATAAAAATGATCATTACCTCATGAAGGACCACAGGCTTTAAAATCCAACAAACCTATTTGAAATCCCAGCTATCAAAATTAACTGACTTTAACAAATTACTCAAACTTCCTGAGCTGTATCTGTAAAATGGAAACAAGAGGCTGGGGATGTGGCTCAAGCGGTAGCATGCTGGCCTGGCATGCGTGTGGCCCAGGTTCTATCCTCAGCACCACATACAAAGATTTTGTGTCCGCCAAAAAAAAAAATATATATATATATTAAAAAAATAAAATGGAAACAAATGTCTTGCAGAATTAAATAAGCAACCAGCACTGTATCAAACATATCGTAATTATTAAAAATACAGTATTTAATTTACTATTATTGACCCCGTTTATATACTGAAATATTTGAAATAAGTCAGAGCTGTATCTTTTTTAACTCAAAGTTTCCTCTTTGTTCCATCCTCAAGAGGTAAAGCTAATGAATCTTAGTACCTGCATGCATCATTTACCTGGGGAGCATCTTCAAAATATTGACTCCTATGCCACACCCTGATATGCTGAGGTGTCTGGACACATACGTTTAACAGGCTTTGTGATAATTTATATTTCCACGTACACTAAATGTAAGAACTCCAACATGAATTTCTATAGAACAAAAACTGTAGAGGCCCAGAGGTCAAGCACCTCACCTATAATAGTGCTTTGGGTCTCCATGTGTAGAGACAAGAGTATGTCACACACACTGTCTCCAACCAATCCAAGGCTGTGCAGCAGAACTTTCAAATCCAGGTTGTCGAGAATGCTCTCATCGCCTTCTCCTGAAATGTAGACTTCGAGTCCACGATTTCTCATAGCTCTGGATATTTCTCCATGAACAGGATCCATTGAAAGAAAAAGCCTGGTAAGATGGCAATTCAGAGGAAAAGAAAATATTTTAAATCCCAGTGCAACTCATTTTGTAGCTCAGCAATAACTTGTAAGGACAAAGCCTATGTGGTACATCTCTAGGGAGTTCATATAGGAAGACACCACTAATAAATCAAGGGACCATACCATCTCCTACATTATTCTATATTCTTCTTCCAACAAGTATCAACATTGCAAATCAGTTTTTCAAAACCTACTTTCCGATATTTCCCAAATCAAGCAGTGACAATTCATCATTCTAACTCACAGAGAGCAGAAAAAAAAAACTGTGTTCTCCTGTAATAATTTCTTACATTCAATGTCCATCAACATCCCATCTAGCCATCTGTCATCTCACACTTATGTTCAAGAAAGAACAGATGATTCCCTGCTGACCCTCCCCATCCCAAACCTGCTCCTTGCCAGTATTCCCTTGCTCAATGAAACACTCTCATTTACGTAATTACATAATGCAAACACTTAAGTGCCTTCATTGCTTCATTTTCTCAACTCACAACTCTAATTGCAAGTCCCATGCATCTGATTACCCTTGTCTAAGTCATGATTACCTCCTGCCTTGACTACTGCAAAAGGATTGTGACTGGTCTCCCAACTTCCATCCTTTCACCAACCCAAGGGAAGGACCTTACCTCTCATTTACCACTGTGCCCCCAGAGACTAGTAGTGCCTGACAAACAGCAGAACCTCAATAAATATCTGTTTCAACCAAATGAATGAATGCATAACTCAGTGTAAGTATAACATATAAGGAGATCCTACTCTATGTCTACCTCTGCTACCAAGACTGCCAGATTCTTAGGCAGAAAAATTAGAGATACAAATACCTGAAATTGGGATTGGGTGTTATTGTGGGAGTGGATCCATCTATCATTCCTCTTTCACTAATGGTGAGGACGCCTCCAGGTTCAAGCAAAGCATTCAAACGATCCAGCACTGATGGGCTGCACAGAAAGAACTCAGATGTTAGACATACATACAAGCTACTGTGACTCTATTTTCCAACTGCTTCTGACCCATATATTCCTTTTAGTATGGATCATTCCCCATAAAGAACTCTGAAGTTTAGATTTCCCACTGATTCCCCTTCTCATTCTCTAAGGCACATAGCCTAGAGCTTCATTCACACTAAATAAAACATTTGTAAATAATTAGTGAAATTAAGGAAAATGATAGTAAGCACCCTGTACTATATGCCTTTCTCTTCCTCTACCCCAATATTATCAAATCCACTTAAAGGTATCTGGATTTCAACATAAAATACTCAGAAAGAAGCTTTAAGGGAAGGGACAGGGATATGGTTCAGTGGTACAGTACTTTCCTAGCATGTGTAAGGTGCTGGGTTCAATCCCTAGCATCACAAAAACACAAAATAAATCAAAAGCTTTGGGAGAGCTTCTGTTTTGCTAATTGTATAGGTACAGTAGCTTCACACTTGTCATTTTCCTTATTTTAGGATCAAAAGTGACATATGGTTGAACTGTCATTATCAGTGCATGTTTGCTAAATGCCTGCATCTGTGTCAGATGCTACATTTCAAAAACCTGCATTTAAGACTGCTCCTAAAAAAAAAAGATTGGTCCTAACAGAGCCAGATGTGGTGGTGCATGACTTTAATCCCAGAGGCTGAGGCAGGAGGATGTCAAGTTCTAAGCCAGCTTCAGCAACTTAGGGAGACCCTATCTTAAAAAATAAAAAGGGTTGAAAACATGGCTCAGTGGTTACATGCCCCTGGATTAAATCTCTGGTACCAAAAAAAGAAAAAAATAAAATAAAAGGCTCAACTCAAAAGAACTGTTATGTGGAAAAGCAATTTAATTTTGTTAATCTTTACTTCAGGTGTTTAATGATCAAATACTACTGTTTGCCATGGGGAAGTCTACAAAATATGGCTGAAACTGCATTTGCTAGTTAAGAAAAACAATGGATCAAAAATATAGATTCCATCTTGCTTTCTACTCTGATACGCATATCTCAAGTTTCAATCAGGCCTACTCATGATTGGGGATAAGGTTCTTACTTGCAGAAGTTAACATTGTCCATCAGAAGCCAGTCTCCAGACTTCAGGGCCCGAACTAATATGCTGTCAACCCATTCAAATGTGCCATGACTATGGCCACTGGTTGACTGCATAAGCTTCACCCCAAAACTTCGGAAATCTTCCACAAGTTTGGCAAACTCTGAAATATCACAGACAAGATCAACATGCACACTACTTTCAAACCAAAGCAAAACAAAAACAGAAAACAACCTCCAAAACTAAGAATTTATTAAAAGAAAGATTGAACTAGGGATGTAGTATAGTAACGGAACTTGCCCATCATATGCCATGCCCTAGGTTCAATCTCAGTTTTTTTAAATGATTCTTAACAGAATAATAAATAGGATTTCATAGGTAAGAAAATTAGGTTTGGGATAGAAACTTTAGTGGTTTTCTGAATTAGTGGCTACATACTCAAAGTTGACTGTGGGTGATAGAAAGGAAAATAATTTTTCTTTAGCCATAATCTCTCAAATGGCAGAAAGAGGATAAGCTCTCTAACTTACTGCTATATTATACTACTATATGAAAACACTTTAAGTTGGTGAAGTGCAACTAAAATCATTAAACTGGACTTCATTTATAATGGGCATACCATGCATTTATAATAGCAACTGGTATTTATTTGCCAAATCCTCTATAGTTTAAACAGCCCCTCCCTGGAAAATTTTCAGCTGATTTTTTTTTATATTATGTTATGATCCATTTTCATACCACAAGATAATGTATGTTGGATTCCTAATTCAAGCTATGAACATGCTTGAACTTAAGCTCCCACTATAAAAAACTTGAAAACTGGGGAAAATATGGAAAGCAACTGCTTTTAGACATCGGAAAACACATGCAGCACAGAACTGTGACATCTGAGGGAAAAGAGAAAAAAAAAGATAAGGTTAAGCCATATAATTGCCCTGGATTTCTGCCTGGAAGTTGTTTGTGCTGGGGATTGAACCCAGCAGGGCCTCATGAATGCTAGGGAAGCACCCCAGAGGCTTCAATAAGTTGAGGACAGACCAAGGTAACTAGAATGAGAAGAATATGAGAGGAGGGACCTACTCAGATAAAGAACTCCCAAAAATCTAAATAAGGGCCTTTTCTTTTTTTGTTTTTTCATTTTATAATCCTCTATTTGATTAAAAAATTTACTTTCTTTGTGTACACTGGAATGTTATATTCCCTATGTATTTTACAGGGTTACAAAATGTCTCTCATTTTAGGTATTACCCCAAAAGTAATTTCAGGAAAAAAAAACTGTGAAATGAAACTTGACTTTTAAAAAATCATATAGACAAGCAATTCTCAAAAATGGATTAATATGATTTCTTGCCTACTTAGCTATAAGACACACTTCTTGTCCCAGTCCCCTTCCTCAGAAAAACCTCATGTGGAAACCAAGCTAGAGATAAGGATTCTTCCCAGATGCAGTTAGGGTAAAGGGAAAGGCCAGAAATTTCTTTGGCAAGCAATTCCAGTCAGCCGTTTGTGACTGCTTTGCTTCACGTACAGTACACTCTTTGCATGGAGGGCTGGATGTTCAGAGGGAGCAGTGGTCTCCAAATAGAGGTCACCTGCCTCTTCCCACTGCCAGGGCCTGCAGCCACTAGACCCCTACCCTACTAAGTGCAATACTGGGTTAAAGGCCAAAGATGGGCTGGCTGATGCTGTTCTCCATTGAAAAAGTAATGGGTGAAATGGAGCTGAGAAACAATCATTATATGATGACACTCAAAAGGTTTAGGGGGAGGAAAGATTTCAAGATACAGGGATAGACAGGCTGGTGGAAAATGCTAGGTTGGCTGCAAGGAAATACAGAACACAAGAATAATCCCTACACAACCAATATAATCAACAGCCTCTTGAAATACTACAACTTCAGTGGTGGAAATGGAGTTTCTCTGATAGTTCAGGGCTAAATGGACTGGCAAAAAGTATCACTGAACTCAGAGCCTCCAAAATCATTACCTCTTTTCTGCTAGAAAGGAGAAGACTGATGAAAGAGCAATCAGGAAGAAGGAGGTAGGTGGTGAAGTTGAGGAATGTGAATGCATTCCAAAGACTGTTTTGGCTCAAGTACCCAAAATGTAGATCTCATCAATCACTGGCAGGCACCACTCCAAGGTATTTCATCAACTGTCATGTCGATACTCCCCATGATCTCATCAATCACTGGTGTGCCAACAATTGATGGAAGTGGGACGGTGATAACTACATCTTTCAGTTCTAAATTATCTTCCTGTAGCTCATATTCTATCTTGACATCACAGCCATTTCTACTCCAATAATTAATTTTCAGTGGAATAAAAGATTCCTCTGTGGTCTGTAGTCTCCATTTTAGCAATCCTACAACACTATTGACTGGAAATGACTTCTCTGGATTCTTTAAGGCAATTAGAGACTCTGAGGTGAAAAGTTTTTTATCCACATTCGGATGGGTCTGTAGGTGTTCCCCTTTCTTATCTTCATTTTCCAAATGAAGACAAATTTGGCCAAGTTTGTCATCTTAGATCCTAAGCATGATCATGCCATGCAATTCCATATTCTGTTACCAAAACACAGGTTAGTGTAATCTTTTCTTCAATCTTCATATACACACGTTCCATTTTAATAGGTGGAGCATGTACTTTTGGCTGCTTCAAAGGCACATTTGCCTGTATTAGAGGACATGATAGTTTTACTTTCAGATATCAATTTGTCCACAAAGTTATCTACTTCCTTTCCTTTGGCTCCAAATTCCAAAGCCTTGCTAGGGCCTGAATTCTTGGCTGGTGCAGGTGCCACTTTTGGTCTATCAGTTTCAATGATGGTTTCTGTGATCATGGCAGCTGTGCTGCCTCTAGATACTGCAGAGATACCAAATCCCAGTGTTTTTTTCCTGTGTGTCTCTGCATCTCTTCAGGCGTCTGGTAATTCTTTTGCTTTACGCTGCATCTCAACCTTAGCTTCACGTTCTTGACTGCTCTCAACACTTTCTCCTCATGAGAATCCATTTCTGTGAAGGTTCTGATTTGTACCAGGTTAACATTCTCCTGGTATCCCAGGGCAACAATTCCATCAAAAAAAGCAAAAATCAAATCAAAACAGTGCTCAGATATTTCATTCTCCTCTAAGGCTCAGCAATACTCAGGAATCACTCTTGAGAAGAGCCTTAGTGTTTCCAAATCTTTTAAATTGTTGCTGTTTTTGGTAGAGATTATTAGTACCATGTATACTTTCTCCATAGGATGATAGCATCTGTTACACTCTCCGTTTCAACAAACGTATGCTGTTTTCCAGTGTTCATGAGCTTTGGGAAAGCTGCTTCAAGCCAAGTTTGGGTCATTTCCACAAACTGTTGAGAAACAATAGACTTTCCTGCTTTTGTGCAGACTGCTGCTACCAACAGCACCATGGTGAGGAAGGTGGTGTGCATACCCATGCTCTGGCTCCACTGACAGGGCCAGGTCCATGGCCTCTCTGGACCTGCTGCCCTCCTGACAGAAGCAGCTGCTGCTTTGCCTCTTACCAAGATGGTAACCCTGAGCCATGTCCAATAAGGGCCTTTTTGACTAAATAACTAAATGCATACACATGTAAAGGATAAAGCTCTATAAAAATGAGCAAAAACTTCCAAGAAAAGGACAATTACTGGAGAGATGTGATCTGAACAATTCCCAGAGTTCACACAGGTTGAGTACCAATCCACTTCAACAACCAAAGTAGAGACCCCAGCAAACATACAGGACACTCAGTGAGATGCTGCAGATACAGGCCTCAGCAGTGGGGTGATCCAACACTAGAGGAAAGGCCACCCTAGCCCCTACCTTTAAAAAGCAATCCCAAATAGATCAAAATGATCCTTAAGCAACTTACACCAAGAAAAGCCCAAGAATCTCTAAAGACAGTAACAAAATGCAGAACTCAGCATCTTAAATTCACAATGTCTGGCATATGATCAAAACTACTACACATACAAAGAACAATGAAAATAAGGCCCATAAAGAGAAGAAAAGCAGTCAATAGAACACACCCATAAATTAAATAAAGACATCAATACAGCAATTAGAAATATGCTCATTATGCAAAGGGATTTAAAATAAAATTATAAACATAATGAGAACTATATTTTAAAAGCCATAAAAGTTCATCATAGAAACATTAAGATATAGCTGGCCATCATGGCACATGCCTAAATCCCAGTAACTTGGGAGGATGAGACAAGAGGACAACAATTTTGACGTCAGCCTGGGCAAATCTAGTCTCAAAATAAATTTTTCTAAAGAGGGACTGGGGGTATAGCTCTGCGGTAGTGTAGCCCTGGGTTCAATCCCCAGTACCATACATGCACATAAAAGACACATTAAAATATACAGTTAAAAATGGAGAAAAATATTTTTTAACCAAAAATAAAAAAGATCAACTATTTTAGATCCAGCTTTTTCACTCTATTAATATCCCTAAGAAATTGATAAATCAACATGAATTTTAGAAAATACTGAAAATATGCTACGAAAACTCATCCTAATCCTAGATATCTAATTTTATATTGACTTCTGAAAGAAATAATACATCACTAGATTCATAGCTTTATAGTGCAAAAACTTGGATTCAAAACTTAGTCTAATCTTAAGACCCTGGGCAGTTTATTATTTAACTTTAATGAGAATTCTTTTCTTCATCTATGATTTGGAGGTAATCTTTTCTATAACATTTTGTCAAGGATTAAAAGTACATATATATATACTTTATATGTATTTTTTCAGTATAATGTGTACTAATCAATATAAATTCATCTGTGCTGAATTTTACAATATTCATATTTTAAAAATATATGAAGTGATGTGACTCCATCAAATACCCTTTAATAATTAATTTAAGTAAATAAGTAAAGATTTTCCAGTTCAAATAGTGGCCTTGAATCAAGAAATCACTCAACAGTGAAATCATACCCTTTTATACTATATTAGAGAGCTAGAAGTGAAAAGTTTGATTTCTTTATCCCTGAGGATCAACTCTTCAGTTTCAAGCAGTCTTTAGAAATAAAGGATGACAATCTAATGACAAACCAACTCATAGGCCTCTACATTTAAGACTCCCTTAGTGCATTCTCATCACCTTTTTAAAAAGTACCACTATAAAAGGAACGATTAAAGTTTCCATGTTAATCATGTTAATCAGGCAGAAATGATATTTTTTCCTCTTATGTAAACATATACACCCTATCAATCCATACTCTTTCAATTTAAAATGCTTACTTTGAGAAATTACTAATATGTAAAAACAAAAACACCCCAAAAAACCCCAAAAATCAAAAAATAAAAACTTCACATGAAACTAATTAAGCATTATAACTTTATATATATAAAATGAGCCATAAAGCTTGATAAGGCAATCATTTTCCTGTTTGCTTTTTTAGGATCATCAATCTATAATATGTTACCTCAACTTCATTATAATTTCAAGGAAGTTTTGATTGTTAATTCATTAAAAATATGGGCATGACATTCACTATTATATTCCCATAAATGGATACAATATGGGCAATGCCAAGTGTATGATATACACATCCAAATATACATACCTGCCTTGGAGTATGAGTTGATTTTATTATTGAGTCTCTGCATAAGTAGCAATACCGCTTCCAGTTTATTGACAATTTCCACTGTGATACCTTGACCATCTTCTCCAAGACACTTGGGTTTGTAAGTCAAAAGGAAATGGCTCCATGCACGCAGCACTACTTCTGCATCCTCAGCACTGATAAGAAGGCTATCCCGTAACAATGCCCTTAAAGTACCCTCCACTTTCTCCAGCAGCTCCCTCCAAGGTCGTATGAGATCAACCTGCAATATCCAGAACATAGGAACTCATTATCATAGGCACTGGCCAGAGTCAGAGGATACTGTTATCTGTAGTCACCACTAACACAGAAGACTCTTAATCAATCCACAGGGCTTTATCTTTTACCTCACAATGTGAAGGCAGACATGTTACCTGCTCAAATCCACCCAGAAGCTCAGTAGTATCCATTGCACTGTTCATGGCCATGATCTTTAATGTGTGGCCAGTAAGTTGTGCCAAAAGCTGGACCAGGCTGGTCTTGCCAACAGAGGCTGGCCCCACAAGGATGACCATCCAGCTCATCTGCACACATTTCATGATGGACTCCAGGGACTGGAATGACTGGTGCAGAAGTGAAAGGGGCCGGCGAGATGGGTGAGGAGCATAGCTGCCACGGGAAAGGACTGAGTAGCCCAGCTGAAAAAACATGCCAATGACATATCACAAGCAAACATGGTAGTGGGAATAGAGAAACCATAGAAAATTGTAAAAGAATAGAGGGTTATCTTTATCTCCTCACCTGAACTTCATAGGGAGTGATATGAAATAGTCTGGTTCCTGTGTATGGGTTAGAATTTGAACCAAATACATCCTTGAACACAGCAATGACCTAAAGTAAAAAATGATTCAATCAAGATACAAATCTCTCTACCAAATTCTTATGCACACCTTCTGGAAAATTTCTAGGAAAAAAAGCCTACTGATTAGAGTCACTATATTCAGAGAACATGAGCCACACTTTCCTTAGCCTTTTGAATATTGTCTTACAGAAAACCATAGACTAGGGCTGGGGTTGTGGCTCAGTGGTAGAGCACTTGCTTAGCATGTGTAAAGCACAGGGCTTGATTCTCAGCACCACATAAAAATAAATAAATAAAATAAAGGTATTGTGTCCAATTACAAATAAAAAATTTAAAAAAAAGAATAAATGAATAAAATAATGGTCCATTAATGTTTTTAAAATATTTTAAAAAAGCATTGACTGAATTTACTAATTCTCTCAAATAAAAGTAAACTCGAGTTCAAGTACACAGTAATCACATAACACCAAACTATCTGAGAATCTAGTGAGAATGTACCAAAAATTAAAATGAAGCATAGACCACAAATCTAGAGACAAAAACCCTGATTTCATCCTTGAAGATAATATCTAAAAAGAGAGTAAAAGAGAATAGTAATTCAAAGATTATAAAGAATAACTATTTACTGACCACCAACTGTGTATCAGACACCATATTATGTATTAGGTTGTTTGATAGATTACTTCTGGTCTTTATAGCCATGCAAAAGAGTTATCATTTCCATTTTATAGATAGAAATAATGGGGTTTAAAAATCTAAGCCAGTCTAACTCTAAAAATACCATGTAATCACTCTAGATACTTATGTAGATGTGATAATCAAAGTTGTTTCTCTAACCAGTTATTTAGTTATCTCTTCCCTAATAGAAAGGCTGTTAGAAAACTTCCTATTAACTATTTATTTATGAGTATCTTTAAAATAAATAAAAGGAGTGGTGAAGAAAAATGTGTTTCTAAAGCACATAATTGCCTCTCCCTAATGTTCTGCCAGAGGTTTAAAATTATAAATTCACAATCTAGCTGGTTTATTTTGGAAAATAATACATTTAATTCGCTTAGGCCCTCCCAATTTTAACAGCCTCTTTCTATTTTTATCTTTCCTAATGTTCTCTATCTTCAGAAAACACCTATTTGGTTAGAAAGCACAGAAACCTTCCACACACCAGTGACACACCCATCTGACCTATCATAAATCACAAGAACACTGGTTGATATTATGGTTACAATTAATATGCTATAGGTTTGAGTATCATTATCCAAAATGCTTGGGACCAGAAGTATTCACAATTTCCTTTTTTTTATTGCATTCTGGAATATTTCTATACACATAATTATAATAATCTTCTACTCTATACTTTGAATATAACCCTTGCTGCTCTGCAGCTACGCGCTTTTTTTTTTTTTTTAATGGACACGTTTCTTTCTCTTCCTCTCTCCCTGCTCCTCCCTAATCTCTCTACTCTCTAATCTCAGGGGAAATAGAATTACCTTTCTTCCCCTTTTTAAAAGGCAGATTTAGGAATGAAGTAAACCAGACTTTGGGGATGGCACCAGAACTTCTCAGAAATGACATAACTCCATCAGAGAACATGTGGAATATAGCCTTTGAATCACCTCTATAAAAGTTGCCTGCTCCTACTGATGGGTAGAATCACACTCTCTGAGACAGGATTCCCCTATGTTTTTCCTTTGCTAGCAAAGCAATAAACATTTTTCCTTTCTCTCAAAACCATATCCTCGTTATTGAATTGGCACTGGGGACAAGGACTGAGCTTTTGGCAACATAATGACATCTTAGGGATGGGACTCAAGTCCATACAGAATATTCAAGTATGTTTCATATATACCTTAAAACACATATCCTGAAATTTTCCACTTGTGGTATCCTATCAATGCTAAAAGTTTCAGATTTTGTAGCATTTTAGATACCAAATGTTAACTGTCAAATTAAGAAGAATAACCTGTACAACTAATACATAAGTAAATAAATTAAAATACTAGGTCATAGTATGTAAATTATGTATCAATAAAAGTGTTAAAAAAAAAAAAAAAAACAGCTGAACATTTTCTTCTTCTAATCCAATGACTGAAAGCCACTTGTAGGTAATAAATGAGTAGTCAGCATTTGATTGGGCTCTGAATACCACATAAGAGGATTTGGGCAGAATGAAAGGGGTGATAGATACATATGCTATCAGCTGGCAACATCTTCATGCTTCCACCAGGATGTTACTGCTCTCTAACACATGGAGTTCTGCATCAATCATTTGTTTTTAAACAGTGGGGTTTAGCAGAGAGGAACAGCAGACAAAGTAGAGAAGGCCTATTTGTGAGATTCCATGCCTTGGATCCTCACCTGTAGGAAGTCATGTCAGCACTTTCTGCCTATAGCTATTGTGAGTGTTCAGTGAGACAGGACGTTAAATGCCACAAATCAAAACCAGCACAGGCTGAAAAAAGTGGCATGGTCTTAGCTACTCGGAAGGCTGAGGAGGGAGGATCACTTGATGCCAAGAGTTTGAAATCAGCCAGAGCAACATAGTGGGACTCATCCCTTCCCCTGCCCCTCAAAAAGCATACATAGCTACAGAGATCCCTAAGCTGAGAATTGTGCTATATTTCACTTATTAATAGTATTTTTCTTTTCATTTAAATGCAGAATATCTTCTCTTGACATCTACTTAAACTTTCTGCTGGGCATCAGCTGTCTTCTCCTGCTTCTCTCCTTTTTTCCAGGAAAGATATTAAAAAACTAGGTTTTTATTACTAAAGGACAATCCTGGTTTCAGATTTGTGACCACGGGATTTGAAAGAACAAGCAAACTGTGTCCTCCAAAGCAAACTACTTTGATAAGGGAATGTTTTGTCTGTTTCCACAACTTCTAAATTTCCAAGTAGTTTACTAGGTTTGGTATTATTAGCATAAATACACTTTTTTTCCTCTTAAGATGAAATCAACTCTCAGGAAGAAACAAAGTATGAAACTCACCTTCTCCTTGTCTTCCTTGCTTCTCATTCTTTGACCATAAATTAAAAACACATGCTGACCAGGATCATAACAGCCAGGGGATTGATCAACAAGCATCAACTGACACCAACGGAAAAGGTCCCGGAGGTTGAATTCCCAGGGTCCTCCTTTTTGGCCCCATTTCTTCTCAACAGACACTTCGAGATCAATCTATAAATAAAAATATCCTTATTGAGAAACATATCCAGCGTTGCATTAAGTACCATCAAATGTATTAAATACTAGAAATGTATCTGTGATCTGAAGTAGAAATTAAATATATTAACAGCTTTGATTCAGATGCTTCCTTCTCCTAAACCCAGACTTCCAAATGCCAGAAATATCCTAAAGGCATTAATATTGGCATTTACAATACAGAACTGATTTACCATCACCCTCAATGAGTAGGTTGCCTTGTACTAGAAACTTGTAGAATTTTATCATTTATTTTGAGAGACTGGTGATTTTGGTAGAATTCAATATTGAAAAAATGCTGGTTCAAATATAGCCAGGAAACACAGATTAATACAAGTAGGTACTTACTTGGTTGTTGAAAGCTACCATTTTTTTAACAATATTTCTGTCAATGGCTGGGAACAAAGTACTGGCAATAAACTCCATGTCAACTGCTGTAAGGGGATCCACAAAGACCTATAGAATCCAAAAAGTAACATAAAGGAATGCCAGTTTCTCTTTACAAACTATGACAGATCACGTTATGTGAAGTCTTAATACTAAATATTTAACTCATATATATATATAATCATGTCTACATTTCAGATACATACAATTCTATAAATTTCAGCTTTAGAAATTTCTATTATTGCATTTTAAGAATCAAATTTTCAAATATAGAGAAACAGACTTGTTTTTAAGCTCTGTGCTAGTAAATTCAAAGGCAAAACGTGCAATTTTTAAAATGCTTTCAGAATTCTAATTCTGAATGTTGGGTGTTAAGAATGTACATTACAAAATCTGTTCAGCTTTTCAGTATGCACGAGAACTGTCCATAATAAAATGTTAAGATATTTAGCAAATTCTTAATCATCAAGGGATATGGACATTAAGAAAAGCTAACATCTAGAGGTATTTCCAAACCTCTAAATTAGCCAAACTCTGCAAAATAGCTGTTAAACAAATAATTTGTATATGTATACATATACATATATACACTTACACATACATAATATACATAGATACAATATATATGCATACCCCTTTGCAAATAGGATTAAAGGCAAGAGAAATTAGAATGTTAGGGGCTAGGGTTATGGATCAGCGGTAGAACGCTTGCCTAGTACATGCGAAGCACTGGGTTCAATCCTCAGTACCGCACAAAATAAATAAAATAAATAAAGGTATTGTGTTTAATCACAACTAAAAAACAAATATTTAAAAAAATTAGAATGTTAATAATAATGATCTGGGGATAGTGGCTTTTTATTATTCATGGCAGTTGTCTGTTCTTTCTTTACTTAAAATACATTACTTTCATTATAAAATTTGTTTAAATGTATTAACAGACACACAGACACTTGAAAAGGTCAGACAGGTTTCCAACCCTGAGAGCAGTAACAGAATCCTGAAGATTACAGTGACCTTACTCTCCACCAAATGACAAGACAACAAGTTATCCAGGTAATAGGACAAAATGATTCAAAGTAGCAGAGAGGCCAGGTGTGCTGGCATGCAAGCCTGTAATCCAAGCATCTCTGCAGGCTGAGGAAAGAGGATCACAAGTCTGCAATCAGCCTCAGCAAACTCAGTGAAACCTTATCTAAAAGATTAACATTAAACAGAGACATGAGGTGGGAGGGAAAGGGAGAGAAAAGGAAATTGCATGGAAATGGAAGGAGACCCTCATTGTTATACAAAATTATATATAAGAGGTTGTGAGGGGAATGGGAAAAAAAAAACAAGGAGAGAAATGAATTACAGTAGATGGGGTAGAGAGAGAATATGGGAGGGGAGGGGAGGGGGGATAGTAGAGGATAGGAAAGGTAGCAGAATACAACAGTTACTAATATGGCATTATGTAAAAATGTGGATGTGTAACCGATGTGATTCTGCAATCTGTATTTGGGATAAAAATGGGAGTTCATAACCCACTTGAATCTAATGTATGAAATATGATATGTCAAGAGCTTTGTAATGTTTTGAGCAACCAATTAAAAAAAAAAATTAAAAAAGAGACCAGGGGTACAGTTCAGTGGTAAAATGCCTTTGGGTTCAATCCCTAGTACCAAAAACCAAACCAAACCAAACAAAAAAACCTGAAGAGAAGTGATGATGGGAAACAGTCACACTAATATTCATCACATAAAGACAAGAAACCGATCAGTAAACTGTCTTTCATTTGTACAGTCAAACATTCTAACTGCTACTTACCAGCAGTCTTATCTACCATTGATTTCTAAGTAATAGTGAATCTTACCTGAGTGAATCTATTCAGGAAAGACCTGGGTAAGCCCTTCCTCCCACCTCCTTGTCTAAAAGGATTCTGACACCCAAAAATCTTCGTCTTTTCATGCTGTACTTGAAAGCTCATTCCTAACTCAGGCACAAAGATTTCTCCTCGATGATCAAAACAAGCATTGAGTCCTTCCAATACAGACTGTGAAGCCAAGTTAAGCTATATGGAAAAGAGAGTGCATATTTTTGTTTCACTGTATATGTTGTATAACTGACAAAAATCAAGAGAATAATTAAGAAAAAATAAAAGAGTCGTAAACTCAGGAGAGGGAAGCTCAAACAATATTTGTAGCCAAATATTTCCCAAGCCAAACGATGAGGTGATATGTATTTATTCTATTGTTCTTTATTTTACATATATATGACATTTAAATGAATATTCAGATTGAAGTAAAACATGTTAAAATCTTTCTAACATTAAACCATATCCATTACATACATGCATCTATACTGTTCTAATCTGGCAAAACTAACTTACAAAAAAAACTTGCCAATATATGTACTTCACTTTAATACTCTGGGTTTTTAGAAATTTAACACTAATTATAGGCTAATAGGTAGGATTTGATAGCTCTTTATACACTTTTCAAATTCAAATTATTGTCTTCAAATGGGTTTCAAAGTCATGATATAAACAATTGGATCTACACAATTAGTTTTTACCAACAGTTTTATAAACAATTACAGGGAGTTCTCATGCAAGAAAGGAAAAGAGCCAAATGGAAGTCTTCAGATATTGAGGTTCAGATCTCCATGACGTGAGACATGGAAGGTTTTTAGGAAACAGAAAAAGTCAATTGGGAAAATGCAAACCAACAAAATAAAGTATCAGGCTACAACATATAACCATTTGACCTGTTGTGTTTACATAAGTACTACAAAGTACAAACTCCTCCGCATATCATAAATACATAACTGCTCTTAAATGTGTCTATTTCACCCCAATTTGAGTATGGTCAAGTAGCCTTCAGCTTTAAAATTAAGTTTTCCCCTTTCTTGGCTAATGAATAATCTATTAGACATCTTTTTCCAAAAACATCTGTAAAAAAACCTTTCTCCTGATATTTCCCCAAGAATGGCAGGCAGCAGCTCAGCAGATGGAATTACATAGTACTCTCTCTGATGTCCAGACCTAGAAAGATACAAGTGTCTAGAAAACAGCTGGGAGAACGGTGTGGAGATGCAGGCCTATAATCCCAGCAATATGAGAAGGCTGAGGCCTTCTGGAGGATTATAAATTTGAGGCCAGCCTTACCAATTCAGCAAGATCCTCAGCAATTTAACAAGACCCCATCCCAAAATAAAAGATAAAAAGAACTGGGAATGTAGCTCAGTGGTAAAGTGCCTCTGGGTTAAATCCCTAGCACAAAAACAAAAGAAACAGAAACAACAACAACAAAAAAAGAACCAGCTGGGGCCCCTAACATCACTCTAATCATTTCAGCTCCACAAATATATCTAGCCTTCTCCTGAATTAACATACATCCTAAACAGACCCACTCTTTATCTCTCAGACAAGATTCAGTATTTACCTTGCCTCATGATATGCTGTTCTTTATTCTGATGGATGTATTTTTGGGGGGCGGGGTGTCAGGGATTAAACTCAAGGGTGCATAACCACTGAGATAGATCCCAACACCTTTTTAGTTTTTATTCTGGGGCAGGGTCTCACTATGATGCTTATAGCCTTGCTAAACTGCTGAGGATGGTTTTAAACCTGCAATCCTCCTTCTTTAGCCTCCCAAGCTGTTGGGATTACAGGCATGTGCCACCATCCCTGGTGATCTGATTCTTTAAAAGAAACCATGGAGGACAATTTATTCGAGTTCTGTCTCTATTTATCCATCAGCATGTTCATTCACTAAAACTACAAATAAAAGGACCACTTCCCACACATGTATTCCCATCCAAGACCTGATGGCAAGACACTCACCTCATCCAACACAACCCAATGGCCTGCCTTCAAAGCTGCCAGCAAGGGGCCATCACACCAGGCAAACTCTCCTCCCTTGCCACCCTCAACAGGTAGATCTCCTCCAAATAGGTCTGTGATGTCCTTTGAGAGAGAAGAAATTGAAAAAAGCCAACATTACTTTTTAAACAAACAAGGAAGCAAACAAAAGAAACTAGGTCTTAAGACCCTAAATCTGAAATAGTGAATTTTTTAGCCCTTGTCATTACGTTTTCTTCTTATACCCAAGTTAAAACTAACCACTCCCCGTACTCTTTATCAGAAGCCTAAATATATCCCAAGCACCTTCTCATCATGATGCTCATTAATCAATTTAAGCAGATGCTCAGATTAGTAATTCTGTATACTTGAAAATTTGTTGGTAAGCTTTGAAAGAAAAAATAGTAACAATGCCCAGGTCTTGCTCCCAGCCACTTATAATTTGTCACCTCTGTCCCAGACTTTTATAAGATTATTTAAAACTCATTTTCTTTCTACAAGTTTTTTTAAGAAAAACAAAAATGTAAGTGAGATTATATATTATAATAAATACAAAAATGAGTACTTCTCTCTCAAAAGAGAATGAGACTAAAATATCTAACTAAGAGAGAACAGGGCTGGGATTGTGGCTCAGTGGCCTCACAGATATGAAGCACTGGATTCGATCCTCAGCACCATGTAAAAATAAAAACAAACAACAACAACAAAAAGAAAGAAAGAGAGAGAGAGAGAGAGAGAGAATAATATTATAAGTGTGGATAATAATGAATCCAGAAGCAGACTTAGTTTAGAAGAACATATTGCTAAGATCTTTATCACCATAAGAAATATATGGAGATATGAACAATATCATAACCATTTTAAATTAGAAAACTCGATAGAGATATTATTACCTACACCTATTCCAAGTTCTATAGGATAACAGCTTACCGTTTGCTCTGACAGATTGATTCGAACAAGGGTATTTCCTGAAGCCTTTGCTAATGCTCCCACCAAACTTGTCTTGCCAACACCAGGAGAACCCTCCAGGAGAATGGGTTTATTCAGTTTGGTAGCTCTTAAAAGCCTCTGGGCATTCATAGCTGTGGTGCCTGCACTGAGTGCATAGTCAGCAATGTTGTTCCTGGGCAGGACAGGTCCTTAAGGGATGAAAAGCAAAGTCACATATAAACTGTACATAATCCAATCCTATACACACATCAACTCAAGAATCCAACCAGTAGGATAGTCAATGAAGTACCATGTGTAAAGAAAACATGTAGCTCCTATTTCAACATCCCCCATTTTTGCATTCAAAAAATGGAATAGCCAAGAGTAAACATTTTCAACTGTATTTATAACACACCATCTTTCCATGTCTTATACACATACATGGACACAGGTCTAACTAGAAACACCTCTCCTTTCACAAACCTATACCTCAAATACTACCTATATTTGTACAATTCACTTTTATAAATACTTGTTTTTCTAAAGTCCAAGTGTAAGCCATAAACCCACATGCTTCCAAGGTTTTTAGATCACCAAGACAATTCAGGATATGTTCTCAATCCTTCGGGTAATTGAAGTGCAGGACTAATAGTAGTCTTTCAGGTTTACTATTTGTGTTTCTTGGCACACAACTGGAAGGAATTGAGCAAGGAAAACAACCTTTTCCTCACTTTTGCAAGCAAAAGCAAGGACCACCCCAGTCTCAGGCTATTAAAGAAAACTGGAACACTGAGGAAAGGTTCCACATGGTCAAAAAGCTAAGTTTACCACACAACCTCAACATACTGCCACTGTCCCTCTATATATTTCATCACTGAACAATTATTAATGTAGAAAAGAAAGGAAGGAACTAGAAAACAGAGAATCCTGCTATAGAAGCAACAATCTAAAAAATTAAGAATGCTTTAGAAGATATGTAATCTAATTACCTTATTTAAATATTTGGCAGAAGAATGGAGGTAGAGCTCAGTGATTGAGAACACTCACCTAGTAGCATGCACAAGACCCTGGATTCAATTCCAGTACCACACACATAACACACACACACAGTAAATAATATTTGGTAGAGCCAACCTAGTTAGATGAGAGTCAGGATCATAACTTAAGCCAGGTTATTGCATTTCCCAAGTAATCACTCACTTATTCATTCACTCAGTCAAAAGATATTTTCTGAATGCCTATGCTAGGCTACATCCCAGATGCCAGGGGCAGGGAAAAGAAAGATACAATTCTTGCACTCAAAGCTTCACAAATCTATGTTTGTAAAAGGCAGTGAGCTCTACAGTTAAGAAATATTATAGGCTAATCGGCCTTTGTAGGCCACTTAAGAGTTTACTAACTTGAGTAATTTAGAGCTTTATTATAGGAAAGCTCAAATAGTGGGCAATGACTAATAACCCATGAGTAAATTGTTTTGTAAAAATGAGCTTATATCTACACTACTATTTTTACATACCAGTTACATATTTTGAACCATTCACAAAATTAATTATACCAAGTCAGATTCTAACTTCAATGCTAGCTTAAAAATAAACTTGAATATGACACATTAAAAACTCAAGTCAAATATTCATTATCTATAGGAAGAGAATAATCATTTATTTAAAATCATTCTTACCCCTTGGTATAAAAAATGGATGGATTCCCCAAAGATTATCTATGCCAGTGAATTCTTTGGCCTTCAGTCTATCATAAATCTTCAATTCATTTTTCTGACCTTCTGTAAGTCGGACTATCTTGGAAAGTTTCTTCATTAGAAATTTCAGACATTCTTCTCGGGCTAAGAGGGTAGTACCAAACCCAGAGGAGGTTACTCCTAAAAGACAGAGGATCAGTACATCAGGGAATAATATAATACCAAGTTCACAATCTCCTGACCTGACTCTCCTTTTGCTCAGTTTACACATCATCAACAAAGAAACAAATTGTTTATTAAAGTACTCCAGTCATTGACAAATGATTCTGGAGATGGAGCAACTAATGTTGCAATATTGGTAATTTTGGTTTAAGTTTCTAATCTTCATGGCTGGAAAAATCAGAACTAAAACATTCAATTTTATGAAATAAGTAAACTTAAAACATGGCAAACTAAAGAATTCTGGCCATTAATTAAAAATGACCCATGTGTTAAGAATGATCCAGTGCTTCTGGAGCAAGGTCATTTTCAACAGTCTTCTTTCTACTCATAATCACACATTTATTAAGTTCCTGGAGCACCTTTCAAAAGTACCATCTTTGGGGTTGGTGTTGTGGCTTAGTGGTAGAGCGCTTGCATAGCACATGCAAGGCACTAGGTTTGAACCTCCGCAGCACATAAAAATAAATAAACAAAGGATAAAAGATTAAAAAAAGAATATGCAAAGAAAATCTACTCTGATTTTGGAAATTTAAAGTATCTGGGTTAGAGATGTGGGCTTTATTCTAAGCCCTTGTCTCTAATAATTAATGGAAAACATACCTGAACCTATTCCATCTATGTACACCAGGCATGCAGCATGGACAAATGATGTCACAGTAGAGATAATCTCTGGTCTTTTCATAGCAGCTTCCTCCCCCATTATGTTCATGAAATTAACCCAGGACAGGATATCTCTGATACTGACAACACACTTGCGGCCAAACTCCTGATGGGTCAGCCAGTCGATGAAATCCAGCATCACCTCAGCTATATCAGCCCCTAAGAAACAAAGAGACACAATTTGCTTTTTATGAAACATCTCAGAACAGAAATTCACATCCTGGGGCCCAAAGACATACAAGAAGGGTCTATGCTCCTTTGCTAACGTGCAAAATTTTGTGAATGCCTATTAATGCTTTTGTTTCCTATGGAAAGGAGTCTATAGTTTTTATCAGATTGCTAAGAGATTCATAAGTAGTGTTCCATTCTAATAAAAACAAAACAAAACTGCTTTGAGAACTATAGCCTAAAAAGCTGTCCTTGAAAACTGCTGAGAAAAGTTATTCATGTTAAGAGACAATTACTAAACTATGCCATAATAGTTTTAAGAATATATATAAATTTTAAGGTATGATACAACTTTATTATATTTACATTTAAATAAATGTTTATTATACTTAAAAGTTCCCCAACTTATAATGTCTCAACTTTTAATTTTTCAACTTTATGATGGTGAAAAGCACTCACATTCAATAGAAACTGTACTGTAAATTTTCATTTTTACCTAGGCTCATCATATACCATATGATATTGTTGATATTCTGGACAGTGACAGGGAGTCATAATCTCCAGTTAGCCATACCATCAGATGGGTAAAAAAAAATAATTCTCTACAGTACACTGTTTTGCTAGCCCAAGATGTGTGGGAAGTTAGGCATATTAAATGCATTTTTGATTCATTTAACATCATTGCAAGCTGAGGAACATCTATATTATATTCACCATAATGAGGAATGCCACCGTCTCAGAGGCACTAAATTCAATTAATTTATTAACTTTTAAATCAATGCATCAGTTAATTTGACAAATTAGGGGATTCACAAATGTTCTTCATGATTCAAGTTGAATGAATATTCCAATTATCAAATTTTATATTGTAAAATATTTGTCCAGGAATAAAGAAAATACTTAAGTAGTATATATAGATTCAAGAGACACCAATGAAATTTAGTAATTTTTTTAAAATTCTAAAATCAATAGTAATCCATTTAACTAAATTTTAAAAAGTACAAATACCAAAGAATGTTTAAAAAGGAAAAATAAAAGATGAAGTGGAAGAATTAGCACTGCTCTAATTTACGTTAAACTATAAAAAGAACACTAATTACAGAAAAACCCAAATCTCCCTGTCCCCAGCAAAAAGCCTTTTTATTTCCTCCCACATGGCAACTCTTCCCTTTTAGAACATCTCTTCCAACTCAGACTAAGACCCAAGAAATGATTCACTCCTGAGAACAGGGAAGGAACTTGTTCAGTGTCCTCATAGCCAGATTCTAGACCAGTGGGACTCTTGGCATGGATGGAAGCACACAATACTGATACAGCACAGAATGCCATAGAAGACAAGGAAAGAGCCCAAGAGCAGCAGCCTGGAGCCACACAAAGACTCCTAGATGACCAGCTTGGTGAGTACATGGCCTTTGTTGGCTCCAGACCCTAACCCACTCCTCACCCATCTTAGAACTCAGGGTTGCATTCCTGTTCTTGTGCAGGACATGGATGGTTGGCTGGAGGATAGGATTCCTGGTACAGCACTGAAATACAAATAGATTCCTAAAGTCCTTGCTGTGGTTACATTGACTATGGTGAGATCAGCTTTCCTGCAAAAGATATTTTTGATCTCATCTGAGTTCTCAGGATCTTCATTTGGAATGTTTGTGTCATGATCCTGTCTGTCTGGACCATCTCCAGACAGTAGTAAACCAACGTCATTGGGAACCCTGCCACTTCCCTATAACTGTCCCATTTATGGAGCACAGGGTCAGCTGGCCAAAAGACCTTGTTCTGATGGATACCAGGGCTGCACTGGCAAACTCCTGGGGTAAGAAGAAATTCACCAAGGTCCAAGTCTGAGAAACTAAGAACAAGAGTCTCAAAGTAGCACAGAACAGAGAATAATGTGAGCTAGACAGAGAGACAGATTATTCCCTGCTTGGCAGCTGGCTATGCAGAGTACAGGTGTCTGGGGTTTTGTTTATGTTTTTGTGCTGAGGATAAAAAATGCTGAAAGTTTATTAAGCCATTTTCCCCTTACATGCTTCCCTAGGATCTCTACATCTAAATCTGCTGCTTTGGCCTGGAAAGCCTATAAAGTCAAAAAGCTCCCTTCCCCTAGGACGGGCTGTGGAACTCCAAGATATGTCCCTAGGCGTCCCATGCTCAATGCCCTACAGATGGTTCACTCCCCTTATGTAAAAAGCACTTTGGTGATGGAGTAAGCATGGGCAATGAACAGCAGTCACATCCTCTGCCAATCTTATGTCAATCCAAGTAACTGAATAAAGAAATAAGCAGCCTAATGAGATTTAGATTTTACTTCCTGAGGGGATCCAGCCCCAAGGCAGAGCTTAAAGACCAATTATACTGGCTTAACAACTTCTCCCTTTTCCTCCTCCTCCTTTCACTTGAATTCTTGCAGTGAGTGCACCAATATAAGCAGTACAAAGTCCAACTGATTAGTTCTGAGTTTGGTATTTGGACCAACATTCACAGTATTACCAAATAACTTATTAGAAAGGCAAATTCTCAGGTCCTACACAAAATATAAGGAATCAGAAATAATGGGTGTGGGGCCCATCAAGCTGTATTTCCACAAGTACCCTAGGTGAGTTTGGAACCACATTTTAGGCGATTCTTATAGTATGGGGTGACTGTCACATTAGTGGGAAATGGAGAGAAAAATGGCAAGTTTAACAAGGTATGGGTAACTCCAGCTGTTCAGAAACTGGAAGTTCAGTGTGGGCCCTAATGAGAAGAAGTTTATGCTCAGAAGACTGCAAAGCCAGTCTTTCTGGAAAGTGTAAAAGAAAGAATGGATTCCATGCAAATGAACCCCATAGGTGGCCTATGTACTTTTGAAACTGTGCTTTAGGGTAACTTTAAAAAGTTCAACATACCAAAAATTTCAAGCTCAAAGAAATAAATATCCTTTTATATTCTGTAAGAAAGGAGCCAAAATGATCCAAAAACCTATCCACTGATTTTTGGAACCAAATGTGGGTTCCAAAGTTAGCCCATTTGGTATCTAAGATATTTAGGGCTAGGGAACAGAGCATTTGCTTAGTATGCATGAGCTCAATTTTCTAGTACCAGAAACACACACCAAAGTAACACAGGCTTAAAAACAAAAACATATAATAAATGTCTTACTGGATATTTTAAAAATTGCTGGGGCCAGGGTTGTAGCTTAGTGGTAGAGCACTCCTCAGCACCACATAATAATAAATAAAATAAAGGTATTGTACTCATCTACAACTAAGAGAGAGTGTGTGTGTGTGTGTGTGTGTGTAAACTCACAGACCCAAAACCTAGGGTAATTCTTTTATTTATACACACAACACACACACACACGTGTGTATATATTTATGGGTTAAAATTATATTTATAAGCAAAAGTATACTCTAATATAGTCTTACAAAACATCCCTCCGATATATTACCACCACAACCACCTGCAGACTTACCTTTGTGATCTGTTCTGCCCAGAGATAATCCTGGACGAAGATTATGACTTATTATTTGAACCAAATCTTCACGCCTTGTGCTTTGAGGACACCATATTTCTGTAAAACGATTTCTTAAGGCAGGAGATAGCTACAAGGAATAGAAACTCTAATGTGAATTTAAAACCTATAAAGAAAGTCCTCATAAACTCCTAGCTATGAAATCCAGCAAACAGTAATCACTTCATCTCTCTTATTACTCTACTAGTAGAAACAATTTAATAAAGACCTACTTTGTCCTGACTCCTTAAAGATATCATCTCATTAATCTCCATGATACCCTCTATAGCAGAATTATCTCCACTTTCTTTATAGACATTGTAGAGAACTGAGGCTTAAAGAGTAAGTGGTGCAACCAAGCTTCCAGTCTTAGTCAAACATGAACTTTTTCCCTTTAGTAAAGGTTCTTCCTTTCACTTTACTTTACATTTAGGTACACAAACAGCTACTGTCCCATATCAAAGGACTGGCTGAAGTACAAGAAAAAATTTATTTTATCTGGCTCAAAGGGAGTGAAATTATAAAGAGGCATATGAATGGCTATCTGGTCTACCACAGAAGGAGCAGGAACAATGCTAGTAGTCAGGAGTGGCTCACTAATGGCCTAGTGAATGTGTGTTTCTCATTACTCTCCTAGATAACCAGTGCTTCTGATTTTCAAGATATTACCTCATTCTGCTTGTTAGGCAAGCAAAACCAAAAGACAGTTTTTCCTCAGGTAAAAGGTGGCAAAAGCTTCGTCTTAAGGAAAACTTGGGGAAGTTAACATGAACCACCTTGAAAATCAGATCTCTCTGTTATTACTTCTACCTGCCAAGTAACCAGTGTTCATATTTTTAAATCCAAAACTATGATGCATATTATTCCTTCTCTTCAGAGCATTTCTTGGAGCACTGTGATATTTCTTCTATGTTACTAAGGAAAACTAGGCCCCAAATATCATGTTCACATTTTACACACCCACCAAATTACCTTCATTTGAGATCAAGTCCTGTTTTTCTTCATCATCCCTAATTTATTACCAAACTACCCTCCCATTAACTTTCACAGACTGGAATCTGGCACATAATAATGACTTCTCCACTAAAATGCTGCAAAAACCTGAAAGCCACAGAGTTTTCGGTTTCTGGGAGAATCTGAACACAATCTAAACAAAAGATGTTTAAACAGAGATGGCAAAACCAGAAAAGGTTCCAGGCTGTGATTTTGTTGTTGTTGTTGCTTTAAAAATCATAAAATCAGACTAGTGTCTAAGATTACAGAATTTAAAAGCAGAGGTTGAATTTAAAGTGTAGTTACAACTTTTCTTATTCATAAAACTGAAAAACAAGTTTCACACAGAGTTCTTGAGAACACTGTTAGGGTAACATAAGTAAAGGGCTAGGCAAATACTGAAACAATGACATTTTAGGCACATATACAAAGTGAGATGGCAAATCTCACATACTTATATGTCAGATTTTTTTCTGTATGATAATAATTCCAAAGATTTTTTGGATTTTTCACCTATTACCCACTTCTTACCCACCATCAAATTTCAAATGTATTATTGCATGTTGGATTTATGGGGTTAAAACGAGAAAGAAATCATACTTCAGGAAGCACAGCTTTACCTCTTTTTTTCCAAAGTCACCCCCAGGGTTCATAGTTGCTAAGACTCGGAAATTTTTCCCAGCAGTCAACAGCTCTACCTCGTTATCCTTATCCTCTGGGCTGCCCTTTTCAGCTAACACCAGAGACTTTTCTACTTCAAGGACACTAAAAGAAAAGTTGGAAAAAATGAGAAAAGGCTTATGTATTCTACTTTGTAGTCTTTGATGTTCTTTAAAAGGAAAAAGTTATCTACTCTGCTGAGCTTTCACTTTAGTTAAGGGGTTCCTATCACAAATTTTAAAATGACTCACCATCCCAATTTCTGTAGAATGGGAAATATTTCTCATCAAGAGAAAAAGAACTTCTATTTTACATGGTCCCTATTAAGGCAAATTTTGCTTTAACAATAGGTATCTCGTATGCAAATGACCATAGTAAACATTATTCATAATAACCAAAAATAGAACAACATCAAATGGCAAATGAATTTTTTAAAAAAGCAGTATATGCAAAACTATTAGGAATAAAGAGGAACAAACGAATATGCTGCAATATGGATCAACTTCAAAACATTAATACAAAATGAGACGAGACCATTTCTGTGAAAGATTCAGAAAACACCAATCTATAGAGAAAGAAAGTAGATTAGAGGTTGCCTGAAGCAGAGAGTGGAATCAAAGGAGTTAATAAGTGTAATGCACATGAAGGACCCTACTGAATGATGAAAATGTAAAACCAGATGGTAAGGACTGTACATCTTAGCAAATTTATTAAATCACTCGATGCACATTTAAAATGGGTACATTTTAGCTGGGTGTGGCTAGTTTTCCCAGCTGCTCAAGGCTAAGACAGCAGAGTTCAAAGCCAGTTTCATCAATGGCAAGGCACTAAGCAACTCAGTGAGACCCTGTCTATAAGTAAAATACAAAATAGGACTAGGGATGTATTTCAGTGGTTGAGTGCCCCCAAGTTCAATCCCTGGTAATATAAGTTAACACAAAATATAACATAACATGAAATGGGTACATTATATGGTACGCAATTATACCTCAAAAAGGAGAAAAAGAGACATAAGTACATCATGACAATTATTAGTCTAAGGTAGTGAGATGCCTTTACACCTATGATCATGCACTAGCATTCTGATGTTAGTTCTTTTAAAATTTTAAGAGAATAGACACATAACATGTCTCTAAAGAGAATTTTAACTCAGACTAATTTTTTCATTGTTTTTAATTCTTTTGGTACTAGGGATTAATTGGTCCTAGAGGTGCTTAAAGTACTGAGCCACATCTCCAGTCCATTTTATATTTTGCTTTGAGACAGGGTCTCACTAAGGTGTTTACAGCTTCACTAAGTTGCTGAGGCTGGCTCTGAACTTGCAATCCTCTTGCCTCAGCCTCCAAAGTCACTGGCATTACAGGGGTGCTGCACCACCCCCAGCTAGGCTCATTTGTTTTACATCTACCGTGGATAATCTCATGTTTGTGGTTAATGATAGTATTTTTTAAAAAGTCTCTTAAAAAAAAAATGGGAGTTCATAACCCACTTGAATCAAATGTATGAAATATGATATGGAGCTATGTAATGTTTTGAACAATAATAAAAACAAAAGTCTCTTAAAGGAAACCCTGAGTGCCACAAGAAATAGTAAGTCATCAACATTTTCAAACATTTATAATACATCAATGAGAGCATTACTCTGCATAAAACGGAGTTATCTATAAAAACCAGGCCAACAAAATATCAGGCACAGGGTAAACCTTCTCACATATGTACCTATTGAGTCTTTCCAGGACAGAATCGTCAGCCAAGGAAATCTCATCCAAGAGAAAAAAGCTGTCTTCTTTCATGGCCAGAACCAGAGGTCCATCATGCCACTCAAAAAGTCCTGATGTATCCATTTCTTCCTACAAGTTGGCAAAAGTGGAGGGAATTAATGAGCAAGAAGATCCACAAGACAATACACATGTAGACAATACACAGATAGCTACTGTTTGCTGGGATAAAATGGCCACTCTGCAAGAGTGTCTGAGGGTCTGAGAACAGGACAAAATCTGTAAACACTGGACAACTGTGGAAGCCCCTTGTAGACCAGTGAAGATCCAAAGATAAGATATGCATATGTAATCAAACTGAATCCAGAAACCCCAACATGAACAAAATCACAAGCAGACTCATTACACAGACAAATGTGGTTCTCTGAACACATCAACATTTGCTACTGGACAAACCTTGTCACTTGTTTTTTTTCTTACTGGCCGTAGCCCTCCCAAGAAATCAGATGTTTCCATGTTTAAATGGCAGTTGACTGAATATAATTTCTGATTTGTCAAGGCTGCAAACACCTGGCAAATTGTTGTCTTCCCACACCTATTAGAAAAATTAACCAGATTAACAAGGAGCATACATATACCAAATACATACTCTATTCACAAATACACTACTAGCAACAGAGGGAACCACAGTGAGAACCTCTTTGCAATAGGAGACAGTGCTAAAAAATGCAAGATATCTGTACCAAGCTCACAGTGCCCCTCTACATAAAACACTAGTGCCCTCTCATATTTCTTGTCTAGTCATGCACCGTGAGAATTCCACCCTTTCCAAGTTGTACCAACAACCACAAGGGGGAGAAAGAAATCTAATAATTATAGATTTCAAAAATACTAACATGTCTGCTCCTCTCCTCTACATGAGTGAATGTTTAAAACAATTAAATGGACAAAAACAGCCCCCAATGATAATGAGAAAAGAAATCATTCTTTTTCACAATGAATCTAGTCTAAAGGTAATGAAAGGAAATAATGACGGGACGGGACGGGATGGGACGGGATGGGACGGGAAGGGAAGGGAAGGGAAGGGAAGGGAAGGGAAAGGAAGGAAAAAAGAAAGAAAGAGTGAAGGGAGAAAAAGAATTCACAAAATGTTTTCATGATGAGTCTTCAGAGTAACTTAAGAAATCCCATGGGAACTGAACCAAACCCTCTCAACAAGTTACGTCACAGAACTTTACCCTGTGTCTCCAACCAGCAGCACTGGTTCTCCAAATTCCAATGCCCTTCCCACTAACACTGCAAGTCTCCGCATGTTCTCAGTCCACACAATATGGCTGAACTTAGACTCCATTGTAGACATTTGGGTAGACAATTTACCTATTCAAGATACAATAAGTATTTAAGTTCTAATGATTACAAGTTGATTCATATTCGTTTTGGACTTTTAGCATACTCACCCAGTAATTTTTGGACATTTTCTTTGGAGAAAAGTGATGGAGGATGCAATTTTTTTTTCAAATGCTTTTCAAGGACTTCTTGAATCACATTAACCTCCTCCTGCTTCCTGACTCGGCCTGCCAGAAGCATAAAACCTGAAGATTTGGGGGAGGAGGGCATAAAAAAATGAAACCATCAAGTATATGGTGGTAATATCAAAGGATGAGAACTGAGGATGTAGCTCAGTAATAAAGCAGTTGCTTAGCATGCATTAAGGCCCTGGATTCGATCCCCAGCACCATGAAAATAAAGTTAAAATTGAAAGATTGAGAAAATGGAGCAACATCAACTCTTATATCTTGCTAGTGGAGTGGAAACCTAAAGAACTGCCTAGGAAAATTAGAAGAGCCTGTTGTAACAAACCATATGTCTGCCATATGTCCCAACAATGTGACTGTGGGCACCCCCAAACACAAATGAATACATAGGACACATATAGGAATGTATAGAGAAGGTTTATGCAAAATAGGTAAAAATTAAAATGATCCAAATATTCATGAACAAGAGAATATATAAATAAATTGTGTTATCTCCACATAACAGATTACCATGTGATATTTAAAAAAAAAATAATGAAGTCCTGATACACCTAATAGCATAACTGAAACTTATATCAGGCTGAGTTAAAGTCAGACCTTAAAGAGTATATATTCCATGACCCCATTCAAGTGAGGTTCATGCATAAACAAAATGAATCAGTTGTGACAGAAGTCAGAGTAGTGGTTACATTCAATTCCAAGAGACAAGATGGTACCTTCTGCGATTTGGAAAATCGTGATTCTCAGCAGAGGTGAAAAGTTATATTGGTACATTCCTGTATAAAAATGCTTTACCATATGTAATATTTCAATGAAATGAACATTTTAAAAAATGTGTATTCTTTACCAGTACTGAAGATAAAAGGAGCAAAATGTGTTCAAGGCCCTGGGTTCAATCTTCAGTGAGAGTCAAGTAAGTGAGAGAAAGAGAGGAAGAATGGGTGGGTGAGTGCATGATCACGTACATTAAACTCTCATGGTCTAATTTTATTTATTCTTCTTATTTAACCCATTAATGACTCACTAGCACTTTTCAAATCAGAAGATTCTAAAATGCTCTCCCTTATATTCTCAGAGAGTAACATAAATTCTTCCATGAATTAAACCAAAACAACCAAACCTAAGTATGAACTCTCCAGTCATTACACTGAAGATAGTGGTGGGTGGTAGCCCACAACGCTACCACCACCATTTGTCTAAAATTCCCAAAGGGGTTATACCCATATGCTGACTCCCACATGTGGCCATTTGAAGCAAAGTAAGAAAACCTTAGTAACTAATGCATATCAGCACAGAGGCTTGCAGGAATTGGACGGCTTACAAAAGCAACTAGGACTTGAGGGAGATATGCTCTGTTTTAGGAATGTCTAGGAAAATGTATATAAGAATTTGGGTAAGATTTGTTTTAACAAGAAGCACGACACTTGAACTACTTATATTTTGAAAATATCTGATTAAAAGCATACCATCATTGGCTAAATGCTGTAGCCAGTCATATTCCTTTTCGGTTTGCTCTGCCAATCTGTATCTTTCAGCCCATCGAAAAAGATCACGAAGGGTGATGAAGCCCTGCTTTCCAGCGAATACTGAAGAACTTCTGCGGTAGGACTATTAAAATGCAAACCAAGTGAAAAAGAGCACTGGTTGTGCTAAATGGTAACTTACATAAAATTCCTAACAAACTTCAACTAAAATTTAAATGATTTCATTGCACTGAATAAGACTGAATTTTTCAGAAATGTAAACAGACTAGATTATAAGTGCCTGAAGAAAAAATGTTCAAACTCATGCATAAAGAAGTGAAGAATAAGAATAAGCAATGGGATGCCACATTTCATATGCCATACAGAAATAGAGAAATAATAATATCAATTATTAAAAAGGTAAAAAATTAGTCCCATAATATAGGACCACAATGCTAACAGTATTGATTATTACTAGCTTTCTGGAAAGTAATTTCACAATAAACACTTATAATTCTGTAAAATAAGTGGTTTTTAAAAAACTGAAATAGGATGCAGTGATATATGTCTGCAATGCCCGCTGTTTAGAAGACTGAGGCAGGAAGAACCAAGTTGGAAGCCAGTCTGGGCAACATGGCAAGTTGACAATGAAAGAGAAAAAAAAAAAACTGTTCTGTAAATTTGCAGATGACAAAAGGGACCCTTACAGAAAGAATCTCTTTAATTGTCTACTCAAATGACCATTTAAAAAATAAAATCGTGGTCTGGGGATGTAGCTCAAGCAGTAGCGTGCTTGCCTGGCATGCGCGCAGCGCTGGGTTCGATCCTCAGCACCACATACAAATAAAAGATGTTGTGTCCGCTGAAAACTAAAAAAATAAATATTAAAAAATTCTCTCTTTCTCTCTCTAGAAAAATAAAAAATAAAAATAAAATAAAATTGTAGTTTGCCTATGCCTTCTGTACCAAGCAAAATGCTCCAACCTTATACAAAAATACTAAAATGTCATCATATATAAATACCAAAAAATTTTTAAGATGATGCAAAATTGTTGGTTTACAAAAGAATCAAAAAATGGGGGCTGGGCTACAGCTCAGTGGTAGAGTGCAAGCTTATTAGCATGTACAAGACTCTGGTTTCAATCCTCAATTCCAAAGATATTAAAAAATAAGCAACAAAAATGGGTATAAACAAAATGAATTTAGATAATTATTCTATAAAAATAAATAAAATGGACGGACTTATTTCTACCCACAGAAGTAGTCAAATTTTGATCACCAAATCTAATCAACACATCCTATCTAAAACTAAGTTTGATCGTGAGGAAATGAAATACCTGAAGGTCCAGCATGACTTTAACTAGTTTGCTGCAATAGGAGGGTGGCAAACTACACCGCTTGTGTAAAATTGTTTCTAACTCAGAGCTAGGCAATTCATCAAAGTGCAATTCCACAAACCGATTCCTGAAGGCTCTAGAAAGCACCTGAGAAACACACAGAAAAAAATACAACAAAACAGGCCTTTTCAAACAATTCCCCCAAAGAGATGTTGTTGTTCATCACAAAAAGAAAAGCCCTTCAACAGAGATAAAAATTTCTTATTCCTACCAAGAAAAATGTGCTATTTGGTATGGGAACAAAAGAAAGGTAGGGGATAAATGCTACATACCTTTCTTCCTCCATAAAGCCCTGGGGGATTTTGTGTAGCAAAAAGCATGAACCGAGGATGTGCTTTAACGACTTCTTGTGTTTCTGTTATGAGCAATTCTCGGTTATCATCCAACAGTCTGTTGAGTGCCTCTAACACATCAGTAGGGGCCAAATTTAATTCATCTAAGATAATCCAGTAGCCCTTTCTCATAGCATCAATAAGAACACCTAGGAGGAAATCAACATTGGGAATTAGTGTATAAATTAGTATTTAAAAATACATACAAATCAATAAATCCTAGATTATCATTAAATTTCTAAGCAAATTATTCTGTGCAGTCAGTCTTGCCCCAAAATATTATGTGATGTTGCAGGTCAAAACCACAATTTTCAATTAAAACAGTCCCTTTTTACCCAAAAGGAAGAGCCAGAACTAATACCTCTTTTCCAACTTGTTCAATTTTCCTTATAGTCTAATGTCATTTAAATCAACAAATTCTCATTATTTCCAAATTCCCTATGACTCATTCTATTCTTTGAAATTCTACGACATGAAGCAGCAGTTCAATTGCCCTCTTCAAAATCTGGTCCTAGTTCTTAGACAGATGGCAGTATTAATGGGATCTAAAGGAAGCCAGCAGCTAAGCATCCCTTTAACTATGTGTAAGCAACAAAGACAAAGAGAAACACTATGACAGAGGTTCAAGTGCCTCAATCAGAAAGAATGAAGAATATTGCTTAAGGAAATGGGTCTAAGAGACTGAAAACCTACATCCATGGACTAGAAGGTAAACCATACCTTCTTTAAAGACAAGCTTGCCTGAAGAGTCAGATGTATAACAACCAATATACTCCTGAATATCCGTGTGTTCATGATTATTGATACGCACGCAGTGATTGCCAGTAGCTGCAGCCAGCCACCTGATCAGGCTTGTTTTACCAACTGAGGTCTCTCCCTGAATCAGCACTGGGTATGTTCTGTACGAGATCAGTCAATACAACAATTTTTAAAGAAGAAGAAAAAAAATTTAAAAGCCTAAACAAAAAACAGTGAAACCTTTATTATTTTGAAAAGTGTTAAAGAAGAATAACTTTATCATTTAACAACATAAACAAAATTTTCTATAGTTATGCACTGAGAAGTTTCTATATTTAAAAACTGTTGCTCAGAAAATACTTCCAACCTCTCTTGTGAGAAAAAGTGGAATTGACCACTACTTGTCTAATAGTGACACGTATTCACCAGCAATATACACCCCACCATGCCCCCCCCAAAAAAAATTTAAACAGGGCCAAAATAGTTTCATCCATATAGCTCCTACTTAAGGTATAATTAGAAATAATACTTTGTTCCAAGAGAAAAGTCACATTGCTAACTTTAGAAAGTAATAACTGTAATGAGCAACAACAAAGCTCTTTCAAAGTTATTGAAGGTAGACTAGAATAACATCAAAGCCTATGCTTATACAGACTTCACAGCTGATGGAAAAAAGGCCCACACACCCTGCAGAGACCACTCGGACTATATCTCTCAGGTTCAACTTAACAGAAGATGTCAGAACGTATGTGTCATCTATTGTAGGCTCCTTATCTCCCACTGAAATCCAGTAGCCTTCAACCTGGATGAGCCGACCTCCTTTTGGCTCTGGAATAGGCTGAAAGAGAAAAGTTAGAGAGATAATCCACTATCTTAGGACAACAATGTGTAAGAGAGAAGAGTAAAGTAGGATATGAAATTGTTAGCAAGAATGTTGCCTTATTCTAGATTCTTTCAAAACGAAAATCCTTTGGCAATGAAGAAGGAGAATAAAATTTGTCCTGTATCTGTTTTAAAATTGGGAAGAAGTTTGGTGGGCTGGGAACCAATTTGAATCAAAATAATTTCCTACATGTTTTTATAATTCAGTTCTTTTCTATTACCTACCAAAATGCCCACTCGGTTTAATCACAAACCTATACCTCATATACAACAGGTATATGGTGCTGTAGTGAGGGAGGAGGCTTTGCATTACTGTGCTTTGGTTTCTCTAGAAGGTCAAAAAACCAGAAGGCTCTCCAGTCATTTGTGGGTAATTTTATGGACAACGGTATTAACTTTCCAAGATAAGGTGTATGCTACTAGGTAGGATTGTACAAATTGTTTTATTAATAAAAAATGGTCAAAAAATGGTCAAATCTATAGCTATGGAAAATTTCCCAGACCTGAAGCTACAGGTTTTATAAAGCTAAGGACAGCTGAATTGAGCACTGGAGGAAAAAGTACCTTTAGGCTTCTGTCACGACCATGAGGAACATATAGTAAAAATGAGCAACTGGACGAGACTAGTATTTAGTTATAATAGAAGCAAACTTGAGTCTTTTTGGCATCAATGTTTTTACAGTTTATCAGAAGTAGTTATTCATGTGTTATTTTTAAAAGACTAAATCCAAAATAACTGCAAGTCTCAATGGCTCTCTTCCTACTAAGCAAGCAATCAATAAGTAAACATTTCAGTAGTAAATAGTTTCAATCTTTCAGACTTGTGCTATTCTGTAATTTCCTCCGCCAAACTCAAATGACAGTTGTTTAGAACAGTGGCCCCTCTCCCTAAGAAAGCCTGATCATCAATCAGAAGGAAAGTGTATAAATAATCTGTAGGGCAACCATCCAATGAAATGTTATGTAACCATCAGAAAGCATTTTATAATGATCTCTGGTACCGTAATGAAAACATATCAAAGAATTAGACCAAAACAGGAAAGCTAGGGCTGAAGGTATAACTCAGTGACAGTATACTTGCCTAGCAGGCACAAGGACCCAAGTTTGATCTCTAACACATAATACACACACACACACACACACACACACAAGAAGTAGTAAAAAGGGAGAGCTACAGAACATTTATGTGTGATGGTCAAACATATCACTTTACATTAAAAAGACATCAATAAATTAACAACAGAATTTGAATATATAATGAAACATTTGCATTACAGTTTAGCTGGAAAGAACTATCTGCAGGATTTAAATCTCCTAGGAATACAATTTATTGGAACTTGAATTGAGCACTAGAAGACATAACATTTCTGTAACCTTAAAATTTTTTGTAACAGATTTCTTTTAGAATTTTTTTTTTTAATTTAAACTCAAACTGTTGAAAACTTGTTAATCCATCCAGCTATTTATGTCAAATAAGTTGAAAGTAAAAAAACAATGTACCTGTTTCAGCAGACTTTTGACATTGCCAGAGATGATATGTTGACAAATAAGTTTCTGAACTATTGGATGTGATGCCCTGTCGAGCTGTGTTAGGAAACCCAAACAAAAACCCTAGAGAGAAAGCACATAAAATAAATTGTGTCTCTGTTGAAATAGCCCAATTCATTTCAGGAACAAAATTCAACCTGAATAGTGATACTTCCCAGAACAACTTTGAACTGTGTAAGGCAGTAGAAAACACGCAGGACAGCTCTAGTATGAAGTGTTTCAAGCTAATCAGAATGACTGTGAAACAAGACAATCTAGCATATGTATTCCCAGTCCCTCCCTCCATGGTGAGCCCACTCAACCCAGCTCCTATGTCAAATAGACTTCAGAAAGACCTCATATATTGAGCGCTGGATGTTGCCACATGGATTGGAAGCTGCAAATCGCAAGGCCCTGCAGAGAGTCCGAAGGCTGTAGTGAGGTCTGTGACCAGTCCCATCAACCAATTTTGTGCCAGACTCTTTCCGCAAACCTGTGTAGAAGCTACAAAGAGGACAAAGTTTTGGCAATTTTAAGTATTATTTTCTTGTTGTCACCACTTTTCTACAGAAGATCCAAAGGCCACGTTTATAAATCATAAATGGTAAACCTTACATACAATTTTCTATAGCGTATATCAAACCTTTCAGTCTGGAGGCTGTCTTTCAAAATGAAATAGTGAAAAATCAATCTATTTCCTTTGGAGAGGCACAAAGTACAAGGTATAGCTCCTCTAGCAAAAAGGTATCAATGATAAGTGAGAAACTTTTGTCTCTTAAGGAGAGTAAGAGGCAAGAGACCCTTAGTAAGAGCATACTGATTCCAAACTCCAGTGTTTCAGAGTTGGCTCTAACTCAAAGGGCAAATGAAGTCTTTGTATAGTCTATAGTATTGATGAATAAATACAGAGAAAACAGAACTCCTGATGTTTTGAAAGGTCACAGACAATGGCTATAATTAGTTTAAGGGAAATGTTACAAAGTGGGACGATATGACCATTATTATAAATTATCACTATAACATTACAGATTCAGAGGATGACAAGATGGAAGAATTTTCACAGTGAAACATGAATTTCCCACACTTTGAAATTATTTGAAATTCATTATCAACTACAATATCAAACGTAACCAAATACGTGTCACAGATGAAATCCATGTTCCTGCCCAAATGGAATATGTCCTGCCTCTTTACAATCTAGGAAGATATTCTTGTTTCTTTGAACAAATGCCTCCTTGACAAACCTATTTAAAATAGGACCACAGGCGTTCATGTTCAAACACTTTGATGTTGTTTCTTCAATTTTCACAACCTAAAATTTTAGGATACAGCTCCTCATTTATTGGTTATCTTCACTTTTAGAATTGAAGCTCCATAAAGAGAACCAAATCTGCTGTCTTATTTACAATACATTCTTACCAATGAGGCATTCCTTGAGTCACTTGTTTATTAAATAAGAAACAAACCACAAAATGCAAAGCAAAAACACCCTTATGATCCTATTTCAACTCCGTCACCTATTATATTTCTTTCTAGAGGATATAATAAAAGTTAAGTAAATGATCTGCCCAGAATGACAAGCTTCTATCTTCTCAAGCTAGTCCTAGGATTCAGGTTGTCTAACATAAAATATTGCTCTCTTTCTATATGGGCACACAAAACAGAAAAAAGAGACTATTAAGTACCAAGCCACACTATCACTCTGTATTTTATTCAGCTTAATGTCTATTAATTCTAAACCAGACTCCTTCAATGATATAGGCCATTTTATCACATTCCCACATATCTAGTATGCAAATTACAAGTAGAAAATATTTCATCAAGACAGGTCAAAATATAAGCCATTTATATTAAATCTAAACCAGGAAATCAAAATCTTAATTATAAATATAAGTAGTCAGTAGAGCTATTATCTTATTGTCTGCAGTCTCATAGAAAGGGGGTTTTAGCTTTTCATGTAGTGTTATGGGCCAAGCAATATGTGCAATGACCAAACAGACTCCATTTGACTGTGAGACTCCATATCATATAAGAAATGCTTCTCCTGTGGGAAAGCCCCACCTCTATACCCATGAATAAACAAAACATAAACAAAATAGCAATTATTATACAATGTAAAATTGTTCTCTTTGGTTTCCATTTTTTGGGGGTAATATACCTTGTCAGAGATTGATTGTCTAGACGTTACTAACCATTCTCAAACTTGTACTCAACGAGGGTCATTTTGACCCACTTCTGCTCGCTTGCTGCTATGCCAACCTGGAAAGTCCTGGGGGAAATACCAACGTACCCATTGTATTGTCTCACTAAATGTCCAATGCAGCTTCTATACCTGATTGCTTATAGCTACATCAACCCAGATGCAGTTTTTGTCTTTAAATATCCTAAAATGCTAAGGCTTGCGGCTGGTTCCTTGCAGAGATAGTTATGGGTCCTGAGGGGAGCTGGCCATCTAAATAAAGACTCTTCAATTTGGACAAAACCGGGACTTGGTGTGTTTTCTGAGTGACCTACCCCACAACAGTAGGAAAAGATTTTCCTAAGGAAAATCTTAATTCACATAATGTTCCATCTTTAAAACAGAAATCCAAATAACAATCTTTCCGTCAGTTTTCTCCAGTTAGAAGCAAAAGGAAAAGAAGGAAATAAATGTATATTCAGAGGGAAAGTATATAAAGACAAGCCAAACAGAACCTACTTTATGATTCCTTGCACTGTGCTCTTGTTCATGCTCAATCCTTTCAGATAATCCACAATAAGAATCTGTAAATCCTCTTTACTTTCCAATTCTTCTACATATAGTTCCGTGAACCTGTAATTATTACAGAATAAACACTTTTAAGAAAATTAATACAAATATGCTGACAATAAAAATATTAAAGAAGTTATATAAGCTCATTTTAAAATACAGAAGTCTTAACTTGATCAAAATAAAAGATAATATATCCATTAACTCATTATCACTTCTTCCATGCAATAAATTTTCTAAATATAATCCTCATATAAGAAAACAGTTACAAAGCTAAAACATACTTATCATTTTCAGGTGTTTTTGATCATAACTAAGTGTAATGAAAAATATGAGTGACAAAAAATAAGCCCCTCATGATCAGAAATAAAAGATAAAGTGAAAAAAAAAAAAGGGTACTTCAATGTAGTTTCTAAATTTTCCCTGTGGAGCTTTTATTACTTTTATCACTACTTTAAAACTTGAAACAAAAGGTTACCAACAATAATTTTGGTTATTTCTTTTCAAAGGTTACAAACATAAAATACCAAAAATCAAACTTTATTCATGTCAGTGCTTAGTGATGAAAAATTAAAGAAACTTAATATAAATAAGCTTAATAAACCTATATGTTATACACAATATTCTGACATGAAATTTTACTAATAGGTAAGAGGCCATTTGAAGAAGGAAAAGTTTTTTTCAACAGTATCCACGAGCCATTAAGTATCATATTAAAAACCACACAAAGTATTCTTTATTGTTCTGGACGTTCTCATACACTTACAACCTATATAAAGTAGAAAAACATAACAACTAAGGAAACTAAGATTCCTCTATTACAGATCAAGAAATTTTAAGAATTGTTTTGAAGTCTGGTTATGTTGACGTTACCAATCAAAATAAAAGAGAATTTAAAACACCTTACCTGTTTCTTATTCCTGGTGGGAGATTTCTTTTGCCCACATCAGTAGCTGGATTCATGCAGGCAAATAAACGGAAGTCAGGATGACGAACCAGTGGCTCTGTTGAGAGAAAAGCAGAAATCCCCTATTACTTGTAACAACAATCAAGCGATCAGATCCCAGTCCCTAAGGGAAGACTACCTAAATCCACAGAAACCCCAGCCCCAAATTTCTTCTTAGGAACAGTCAAGCTGGTGCAGGTAAGAAAATTAATACACATATGCTGACAATAAAAATATTAAACAAGTTATATAAGCTCATTTTAAAAATACAGAACTGTTAACTTGATCAAAATAAAATATAACCATTAACTCATTATCACTTTTTTATACCATCCTTACCTGTTCTGAAACCCCATCAAAATCATTTTTTAAATCTACATATACAATTTAGCCTCATGTTGCCATTCTAGTTTTTTGAGCATTTCTGCACTGTTACATCTTTCATCACCCATTTATTCACATGTATTTTGACAATGTGTGCATGTCTATTACCCACAACCCAATTGCCTTGACAAACTACCTCCTTCTTTTTTGCATTCCTAATATCATCTAAGAACATTTCAAGATACTTTGCAGAAACTTTGTTTACAAGGAATGAATGAATTCCATCAGGAGGTTCACATAATCCATTTATGCCAAAACAATCCCATTTTTAAGTTTAGGCCAAAAGACATGGCACCAAGTCAAACCCCAAAGTGATCAAATGCTACCTGTGTCTCCTCGATCAAGCAACACCAGGGAACCAGAGGATCCTTCAAGCAAACCACTCAGACATTCTAATGTTTCAGGAGCAGCCAAATTAATCTCATCCAACAAGATCCACTCTCCTTTCTTTACAGCCTGAGCTAATGTACCCTAAGAGAAGACAATGTAAAAAGTTCAGACTGCATGTCAAATAAAGGCACACTTATTAAAAGCAGTTATGTGAGCAAGATTAGAAACTGAGGCCAGGGTAAATCTCTCCCACTTAAGAACCTATACTTTGACTGCTAAATGGCTGTCAGCAAATCATCAGAGTTTAAGGCCAACTTAACCTTGTAAATGTTCCAAGGAGGTCACGAGAGTATCTTTGAGTCTTACACTAAGATGTAATACACTATCGTCTCATTTTGTGGATAGTCAATTAAATAATAAAGTATTCAAGTATTTAAAAGCACCCAATTAGCTGTTCTGAGAACCCAAAATAAATACAGGGTCAGGTTATAAGTATAGCAAGACCAGAAAAATGTCCAAATCAAGAGTGTAGTAGTAGCTGGGTGTGGTGGTAAATGCTTGTAATCCCAGTAGCTTGGATAGCTTGGGAGGCTGAGGCAGGAGGATCGCTAGTTCTAAGTAAGCCTTAGCAATTTAGCAAGACCAAGTCTTAAAATAAAAAGGGCTGGGGATGTGACTCAGTGGTAAAACACCCCTGGGTTAAATCCCCAGTACCAAAAAAAATTAAAAAGAGTGTAGTAGTTGCAATACATGTCCTTTCACAGTTGCTTAAGAATAATAAAATGAATCTTGGCTCCAGTCCACTGAAGTTATCTCTTTTAAGTTCTCTTTCCAAGAACAATAAAAACATCTTACAATCCATTCAGTTAACAAATCAAAATCTGTTTTACTATTCCTGGGTGCAGTGGATCATGCCTGTAATCCCAGCAGTTTTGAGAGGCTGAGGCAGGGGGATCACAAGTTCAATGCCAGCCCTAGCAACTTAGAGAAACCCTAAGCAACTTAGAGAGACCCTGTCTCCAAATAAAGAAAAAAAAACTTTCAAAAGGACTGGGGATGTGGCTTAGTGCTTAAGCACTGATGGGTTCAATCCCCAGTACATGCCCCTCAAAAAAAGAAAAAAAACTTGTTTTACTATTTAAATTGCTCTAGACTTTTATTTTCAGTTGATTCTAACAAAAATGCTCTACAAATTAAACTGAGAAAAATAAAACCGAATGCATTATCTTTGTTATATCATTAAGTCCTAAAATATAAGCCTTAATTTCAGTGCCCTTGACATTTTAATTGGTTATTTTATAAATAATCACATTTTTATAAATAATTGTATTAAGATTAAGCATGGCCCAGTGCAGTGGCACATGTCTGAAATCCCTGTGATGCAGGAGGCTGAGGCAGAAGGATCATAAGTTCAAGGGCAGCCTCAATGACTTTATAAGATGCTGTCTTAAAATAAAAAATAAAAAGGGCTGGGCAATGTAGCTCAGTGGTAGAGGATCCCCACCCAAAAGAGGTTAAGGACAGATGACCAAATTTCCTACACCCATGGTTAAATAAACCTTCTCTCTTAGCAAAACACCAACCAAGACTCCTACCTCTTCAAGAACATGATCTAAAACGGTTTTACAGAAATAATATAAAAACTAAAACAAAGAAATCCCAAGTCATGAATATTTAATCCAAGTGATCTTTCCCTTCATAGACAAACAACAGCAAACAGTAGAGCTGACCATGCCCTTTAATTAATAAAAGGGACATGGAAGTGAATGAACTTCAATCCCTCTCACAAATATTTTTTTTTTATATTCCCAATTAGCCTGGAGCTGGAGCATGGTCTCAGGCTCAAGCTTTTGCTTGTGTACACTCACCCCTGCTTACATACGCATAGAAAAAGAATATAGAGTACACTACTTGTCCTCAACTCTTCTTTAAAACTAATAATTATAGGGACTGAGGTTGTAGCTCAGTGGTAGAGGGCTTGCCTTGCAATGTGAGGCACTGGGTCTGATCCTCAGTACAATATAAAAATAAATAAAATAAAGGTATTTTTAAAAAAATAGTAATTTTGCTCACCAAGACATTACTATCATTAGGAACATTTTTAAAAAATCTTCCCCCAAATCACTACTTAATTTTTTTTTAAATCTTAAAACAGCAACACAAACTAGTAACATGCCACAAACCAACACTTCCTTAACCTAAATATCTAAAACAAAATACCTCTACAAATGCAAATAATAGGGCATTTTCAGCCATTTTCATCTGTTGTTGGGCATGGTTGAGTCTAAGGCCAAAAGCTTCCCATTTCTCCTTTAGGAGTAACCCTAGAAGAGAATAAAGACACATTGTTTTATTTGTCATCAACATTGCATATAGAGCTCTTAAACACCTAAAAATAATACAAGTAATGAAACACAAAAATTAAGCATCTTCAACAATAGTCTGAAAATCTACCTATCTTTTTTGAGTGTGGTACTAGTAACTGAACCCAGGGGCACCCTATCACTAACCTGCATCCTCAGCCCTTTATGTTTGTTTGTTTGTTTGTTATTTTTGAGACAAGGTCATGCTAAGTTGCTGAGGCTAGCCTTGAACCTGTGATCCTCCTGCCATAGAAGCCTCCAAGCTTCTTGGCTGTGGAATCCAGCACTTTAAAAAAATTTGACATACAAACAAATAAACAGTGCTTGTATACTAGTATCCTTAGTCATTTAGTTTTGCAGAAATCATGCCTAGAAGTATGGCAGCAGCAACACGTCAAAATTTGTCAACTTTGCCAAAAGTTCTAGAAAGCTCCAATTTATATTTCTCATTTCCCCCCCCCCACACACACACACACTTTTCTCTTAAGTGTTAAGTGAGTCTCAGTCTCATGTCTTCCCACCATCAGTCTGGGTTATATCCTTACCAGTTTCACTCTCCTTTCCTTCCTTGTCAACAGCAGACTTATGTACATGCTGCATTAATCTCAGGAGATTATGCCACCGTTTTTGCCTATAACAGGTCTGAATGTGCCCCAAGAAAGTAAAGTTTTGTTTCTTGGAAAATGTTTGGGCAAAGAGCTCCTCAAATGCCTCTCGTAAGGGTAGCCAAATAAGCTTATGGTCCACAGGCTTGTAACTGAAACAAAAGGTAAATGTGATTCACAAACTTCTAAAGCTAATAGAGATTAAAAAGCACAATCAGAATAATCAAAACCAGAAATACAATCTAAATATTAAAATCTATGTCAAAGTTTTAAACTGTAATCTATTCTTCTGTTCCAAGTGTTTGAAGGGCTTCTACTTATTAAAAGTATTATGAAAAATTTCAAAATTTCCAGTTAGACAATAAAACATGCTATTTTATTTTACTATTTGTTTAAATAAACATGTAGAGGACTTAATTATAAATCATGTTTTAAGACTGACCAAAAAGATATCAAGACATTTTAGAAGAAAATCAATATAAAATCAATGTTTATTCTCCATTGGGCAGGGGTTGTGATGATATTGCTCACAATGGGAAAAAACTACTTATAATTAGTAGGAGTGGGAGTATGGGGGGTGAGTTTATAATATTGCAATGATTTACGACCATCCAAAGTTCAGGTTTTATTTCATAGTATTTCGATTCTTTCTTACTCCTTAGCATTTAATTTCTCTGGACAAAAAAAAAAAGAAACCAAGTTTCATTTAATACTAGAGTAGAGAGCATAATAGGAAAAAAGGTCAGGAAACATTGTTCTAATTAGTATATGAAAGTAGCCTAAGCAAAATTAAATGCTTCTGGAAAATCTTAAGCATATAATTTTATGTAACTTAAGTTATTAAGTACTATAATTCAAGAGCAATAAGATAAATTTTATTTCTAAGAAAAATGTTTAGCTTGAAAACTGAAAAGATGTCAAAATATATTAAAGAACAGTCAAACAGAGAACTCAGAGACTGCTATCAGCTTATGAGGGAAAAATAGTAAGATGAGTAAGACCCAATGACCTGATAATGAGTACCTACAATGACAAGTCAGATTCCAGAGACAAAAAGTGTGGGAGCTTCAAACTCATTTCCACTTGCCCATAAGCATTAACAGATTGATAATGGCATTTCTTCACTGATAATGGCATTTCTTCACTGTATTTATTCAACTAAAATTTACTGAGCACCTATGTATATGTTAAACCCTGAGTCAACAAGACCTACAAAGTCCTGCTCCTATTAGGCTTACAACCTAATACAGAAATAAATCTACTACAAAATATCAAGCAATAGTTTAATTGCTAATGAATATAAATTAAGTAGGGCAAAAGGAAAGTAGGTGGTGGAGGTATTAATAACATAAGTTATCAGTCAGGAAAGCTTTATTGAAGAAGGGACATTTGAAAGACACCTAAATCAAACAAGGAAATGAGCTAATCAGGTTATCTGTGGATGGCAGGAAATGTCACAGAGGAAGTATCAAGTGTCTGTGGGAGTCAGAGGATGCCACCAAAAGGAAATAGCTAGCAAGTGTCTAGCTGATGCAACATGGAAAAAGCACCTAAAGCTCAGCAGCACAGGCATGGATGGAGATCATGTCAGAGAACTGCCAGTGGCCAGTGTCAGGTTACAAAGGACTTGCACAAGTGTTTACAGGCCAAAAACAAACGCCTTTTGGTTGTATTTTAAATGGAATGAACAGTGGAGAGATTTGAGGAAGAAAGTGATGTAATCTGATTGTACTTCAAAAGGATCATTTTAACTACCACATGGATGCCCAGGTGTAGTGAGCACATCTGTAATCCCAGGGACTTGGGAGGCAGGGGTAGGAGGACTACCAGCCTCAGCAACTTGGACCCTATGAAATTTTGTGAGACCCTGTCTCAAAATAAAAATGGCTGGGGATGTGGCTCAGTGGTTAACACCCCTATGCTCAATCCATGGTACAAAACAAACACACACCAAAAAATACCACATGGCGTAAGAGACTAGAGGAAGTCAGAAGTTGAAACAAAGAAACAAGACCAAAGCACTAGACCAGGCAAAAGATGATGAACTAAAACGACAACAGGGGAAGTGGTGAGAAATGAAACAAAATATACATACACGTCATCTAAATGAAACTGTTAGTACTAAAAATAGTATAAATGGGATCCAAAGCTAATGAAGGCAGCAGTTTAATGGCAGAACAGATTCTTATAAAATAAGACTGCTTGAGTTTATCTGGATCCATGATTACCTTCAGCAAGTGACAATGTCTTTTTCCTCAACAAGTATGTGCCTCGTGGCTGTTAAGAAAGCCAATTAATGCATATAGAGGACTCAAAAATAGTCTTTGGCATATGAGGACTGCCACAAAGAGTTAGCTATTATTACTAATATTAATCAAGCACTGCTATTACTGTCTATCAATTTTATGAAAAAGTGGCTTAATAAAAATTAGAGTTCTTTAAAGTTGAGCATAGTTGCTAAAGCAGTTAAGTCAATATATGATTCAATCAATGAGAAAAATGCGCTGAGGATTTAAGTCAGTGGGACAGCATATACTTATCATGCATGAAACCCTGGTATTTGATTAATCCCCAGTACCCAAAAGAGAAGAACAGAAAAAGCATACAGCTCAAAAAAAGAAAAAACTAAAATCCCCAAATTAACCACAACACACATACTCAATGGGAACAAAACTGACATAGTTCCAAGACACCTGCCTCTATGAAAAATAAGTCACCACGTATTGTATTCTTTAGAACTACATGGAAAAGATCATTTGAAGCTAGGTATGGTGGCAAACTCCTATAATCCTAGTGCCTTGAAGGCTAAGGCAGGAGGATCACTTGAGGCCAACCTCAACAATTAGCAAAAACCCTGTATCAAAATTTAAAAGGACTGGGGATATAACTCAGGTAAACAACTGCTGTAGTTCAATCCCCAGTACCCACCCTTCCTGTTCATTTGAAAATGGATAAAACTAAAGAAAATGACTCTCCAAAATAAAGAACAGAAAATATAAAAGACAAAACAGTACATGCTAAGTAATAAAAATAAATGATAAATGCTGTTTCTTCATTTCATGGTCAGGTCTTGAGTTTAATTTGAGTTCTGTCCTCTTCTGTACAGTTTCTTTTAAGAATGGTTCCAATAGGGCTAGGGTTGTAGCTCAGCAGTAGAGCGCTCACCTAGCACTTTTGAGGCCCTGGGTTTGATCCTTAGCACCACATAAAAATAAATAAAATAAAAGCAATTATGTCCAACTACACCTAAAAAATAAATATTAAAAAAAAAGAATGGTTCCATGCATGACAAGGAAAATGTAGGTTGCACATTTTCATTCTATTTCTATGATCTTTTGATTTTCCTCAATCTTTTTTTTCCCTTCATTGCCAACTTCTCCAAAGAGAACCTTCCTTCTTTCCTCAAGAGTTTTTCCCTCAGATACTACTTTTCCTTAAGCCCTTTCCCTAGAAACCTGAGCTTTATACTTTTTTTTTTAGTACTAGACTTTTTCTTTCTGGAATGATTTTAAGTTTTCTGTCCCTCTCATGGGGTCACTTAGGCTGCATCCATCTCCAATTCAGTTGGAATTTGGCTTCTTGAAGCACACAGGTAACGTGGAACATCTATATACTGCCTGGCAGAAGTCCATTTTAAAGACAAAAAATAAGTTAAAATTAAATAAAAGGGCTGGGGTGTAGCTCAGTTGTATAGCATTTTCCCACCACGTGCAAGATCTGGCCCCCCCTATTAAAAATCAAATGAAAAAAAAAACAAACATATCATCCTTACACTAATTAAAAAGCAATGGGTGCTAACAATTATAGGAAGGCAATTTTCAGTAATGTACATGGTTTGATGCCATTAAGGCCCTTAATTTTATAGTGTCTTTACCTATAATAATAGTTTTTTGAAAAAAATCAACCCAAAAGATAGATTTGTAAACCAACCCAATTAGATCCATAAATATCTTCTTTTTCCAACATAAAACTTGATATATGCTAGATATATTTAACGTAAATAATATAAGAAATGGAACTAACCACACATACTAGGGACAGAAATATCATCCTCTTCTGGCCTGTCTCCTTGCCTTCTCCTGAATTTTGTTTTCCACTTTCTTGCCTTTTCTAAAAAGACTTTTGATCTTCCCATCTTACAAACAATGATTCTTAAACAAGAGAGTCTCCTAGCAACCTACACTATGATATATATTACAAGATTTGATTTATGCTACTTTCTACCAATATGAGGATAGAGAAAACAAGGGAAATTTCCAACGATACAAAAATTGAAGAGTATGTAAAGTTTTCTTTTGGTAACTCATGCTAATCTACTAACAAGAAAAACCGGATATATTCTAGTCACCAATTTGGCACCAAAACGAAACACCAGTTTATTATCTGTTAGTTACAAATCTTTCATAATATCAGTTGCATCAGGGCACCAATGGGTTCCTGTATATTCAATACATTTATAATAACTTGAAATGACTGACAGAACATAATAAATTCTTAGAGGAAAAGATGAACTTGTCTGTGTTTGATTAGTATAAGATTAAAAAAGTAGAAAATTACTGAAGACATATATAGATACAAAAAAAGAAATAAACAGCATAGACATGCCTGGTTAAATAAAAAGATCTGTAGAAGCATCTTTGTAGAGTGACAGCAAAATCTTCATAAAGGTTCTTAAAACCTATGCTTTAGTTCAACTGTACTATATATACAAATGCTACCTGATTAATATTCTTGTCTGGTTTGTCTTCCCTCTTCCCTTCCAGTGTATCATCCATCATTGAGAACAAGGACCTTTATAATGAAAAAAATCATCTACATAGCCAAAAGCCTCTCAATAAATTCTAATAAGTACCGTGCTGGGGTGCAGCAAGGGGTGCTAGTCTTTGAATATTTTCCCCAGGCTGCCAAAGCTTTTTTTGAATAGTGTTTCTTACCTCAAGCAGTAAACACAAAATAACATGAAAAGAATTTCAAACCACATTTACCCTCCAAGCAAGTCTGCAGTGTCACTCTGCTGATTCATATTGACAACTCTCAAACGGTGGCCTTTAAAAAAGAAAGGGAAAAAGAAATATTCCAAACATTTAAATGCTGATTAATATCCAGTACACATCTTAAGAATGTAAAGACATAGAATAGCACAAATCTTTAATATGTATTTCCATGTATCTTCTCATTTTACTTCAGGGACCACAAACTTTTTACATTTTCTCACATCTCCATATAGATATAAAACAGTCATATTCACTGTGGCATTACTGGTATAGCATCTGGATAACTATGCATAGGAAAACACCCTTCATTAAGTCAAGGTCTACAATTAGGGCTAAGTAAATGTCCATAATGTGTAATTATTTGACCATTAGAAGCCAAATTAATAAAAATTTTTAAAAAATTGACCAATCTGCTTAACTTAATGTAATATGTCGAGTATAATTCCACCTGTATAAAAACACCATCTCGACTGCGAATGTGGCTCAAGTGGTAGCGCATTTGCCTAGCATGTGTGAGGCACTGGGTTTGATTCTCAGCACCACATAAAAATAAAATAAAGATGTTGTGTCCACCTAAAACTAAAAAAAAAAAAACCCACCATCTATATGCACATGCCATTTGCACACCAAAAATTAATCCAATCAGTTAATAGTGGTCATTTCAGGGAAACAACACAGATGGAGAAAGGTCACTTTTTAAAACTCTAGTTATCTTTAGACTGTTTAAAAACAAAAAACAAGAAGAGTCATTGCAAAATGCTTAAGGGCAGTCATTTGCCTCCAGGAGTTACCTGTAATGTGTGCCAAGTACTGGACAGTAGAGGTTTTGCCAGTCCCAGTCTCTCCCACCAGCAACACAGGCTCCCCTTTGCTGACGCACACTGCAAGCTGTTCAATGAGAACAGAGGATGGCCGTGTAGCAGCAAAAGTGAATTTCTCCCTAAGAATGGGAAAAAGGAGTTTAAAAGCCAGCCTGGGGATATACATCAGTGGTACAACAGTTTACCAACCTTGGGTTTGATCCCCATTGATGAAGGTTCCCCCCCTCAAAAAAAGTCAGGCTGCAAGCTTTTCTTAGTGCTGAAGGGAACTCTAATTCCCAGGTTCAACAAAGAAGAATGAGGAAATAGCCCACAGTAATTGTCTTCATGCTGTACCAGATATTCCTACAACATATAAATTACAAAATTAATTTGCTTTGCAAACACTAAAGAGTCATATACCTGGGTAAGGTGCTACGCTTTGGAAATTCAAAACATCCATGACAAGACACTATATTAGCTGTGTCTTGAACAAATTACTTAACCTGCCTTAACCTCAGTTTTTTCACCTACAAAATGTTTATGATAATTGTAATGGGTTTAAGTGTTTTCACTTAAATTCAGTCCACCCAGAATCTGTGGAACTTTATTTTTAAATAGGATATTTGCAGATTTAACCAAGTTAAGAAGAGGTCATTCTACTTAGAGTGGGCAATAAATCCAGCAGCTGGTATCCTTGTAAAAGCAACCTGGAGACAGAAACACATAGCAGGGAAAAGGCCCTGTAACAACAGAGAAAGAAATTGGACGGATACAGACCTAAGTCAAGGAACACCAAAGATTGCTGAGAGCCAAAATCATCCAGAAAGTAGCAAAAAAGTATTCTTCCCTAGACCTCTCAGAAGAAATATGGCCCTATCAACACCTTGACTTCAGACTTCTAACCTCCAGAATTGTAAGAATAATGTCTGTTCTTTAAAGTCACTAAATTTTTGGTCATTTTTAAGGTTTATAAATCCTAATTTATAAAATTATTATAATCACTATATGAAAAAGCAAATGAAAGCACTTAGCACAATGCCAGGCATATATTAAGTTTATAATAAATATTACCAGCTCAGAATCTTATATAATCCCAGCCCTCAATATAGACAAATGCCAAAGCCTGACTTCCACCTGAGCCCTGCTTCAATAAATGCACTACAGCGAGCAAAAACCAAGGATCATCTTCGCTAGTCCATATCTCTAATGGCCTTCATCACCTCCTGTTAACATCCAGTTTCATAGAACATACTTTGGAAAAACACTGCTCCTTACCACATACCATGCTGGCAAAACGACAGTTCGGTAAGGTATTCTGCTCAAAGGATAAAACGAGACCTTCTATCAATTCTTAATGACCACACAGTACATAGGTTAGTTTAGAACCCCCCTTACCTCTGTACATGAGCAGCCTCGTTTTGTTTCCGAAGAAGTCGCACTCTGCCTACTTGCACATCTAGTTCATTGATCAGAATTTCTGGCTTATAAAGTTGACAAAAAAATTCAGCCTGTGGGAGGAAAAGGTTTCAACTGAACAAAAATCTGCATGCTCTTTAACATTTTCTTATTCACAGAGGCTCACTGTGACCTTCTAATCAGCCTTCTACCACGAAACACACTGTACTCCAAGATAGGCAAGTTAGCTTTTAATCAAGGTTGATTTTTCTTCATTTTCCGAGTTTCCAATGTTTTTTTAAAACATTGACTGTATTTCCATAAAATGGTCCTTCTGACTCATGTAAATAAACCTCTGTCTATATCCAAAGTGGACACTGCTGACAGACATTTCCCAACAGAGTAAAAACAAAACAAAAAACCCCTCACCTCCTAACTTACGGGAAAAAATTTAGTAGATTTCTCTTCAACCATGGTATTCTCTGCTTTAAATTTCTAACATGGTTCATCTGACTAGTCAAAGCAGAAAAGGAAGTTATGGAAGACGCTCCTGGGTGTTTAGCCATCCATCTCTTTACTTGTTGATAACTCAAGCCGGATTTTGTTCAGGTTTCACAAAAGCAAAAAAGGGGCAAAATGCTCAGGGAAGATGAACCCTCCCCAAAGAAAAATGGTAAACACTGATTAGTCTAAGTGGTTTGTTTCATTCCTTTGCCCACTAAGATTGGTATATGTATTAATTAATTAATTCCCTTTCAGTGGAGTATTCTATTACCCAAAACACCCCAACTTCTTAAGAAGCTAAAGAAACATTTCCACTATTGCAGTTCCTTACAGGAAGCATGCTACAGTCATAATTCAAGTAGGAAAGCCAAATATCTGCTCAAGATGAGCCCTAAACATTTCTCCAGCCCCCAACCACAACATTATCACTGTTGAAGGGCTATTTCCTCCAAAAATTTCATTTGCATATGTCTGGTGCTAGGGATTGAACCCAGAGCCTTGTGCATGCTAAACACATGCTCTGCCACAGAGCTACATTGTCAGCCCTTCATAAATACATATTTGGATATAAAACAAGAATGGTAAAATATTAGCAATGTCTGTGATGAACCTAAGTAGTGGGTATACAGGTATTCATTGGTACTATTTTGAACTTTCCTGATGTTTGAGGATATTAATAATAAAAGGTGTGTGGGGGGGGGGGTCTCTGAACCAAACTAAAAACACGTTACTAAGACACAATACCAGTTCTAAGCCTATAACCAGAGAATGGTCATTAAAATACTGGAGAATAAGGTATACATGTGATACAGGGCATAAGAAAAATGACTTCAAGAATGTGGAAACATTTGCAGAACTACTAGGGAATGTTGGAAGATTTATATCCATGAAAGGCAGTAATGACACCAACATTCACGGAGGAGTCAACATTGCAAAAGTTATCCCAGGCAATGACCAGAAACCAGTAAGCAAGCTAAATACCCTAGTCTGCTTTCAAAGGAGAAGTAAAAATAGCACCATGTACCTTCTTCTTAGAAATGTTCAATTTGCTTCCAATAACTTCTGCCATTTTCAATTTGCTTGTGCGCTCAGAAAGCATTGCTGTGAAACAGTCCAGAGCCTATTAAAATAACCAAGGCAAATGCCAACTGATTAAAAAACAAAAAACAATATACATTAATCACAGAACATCCTATCCTGCCTGGCCTCAAAAGGGAAGAAAATAAAATCCAGTAGGAATACTGATGCAGTACTGAAAGGGGTATAAATAATGAGCCAAATCTGGACATATAACTTTACCTAATAGGAAACACACGAACAAATGTGGAGGGTGTTGTTATTGAGTTACTGGCAAAATTAGAAATAAACAAACAAAAACCCTAACTCATTTTGCAGATCTTAACTTCATGCAAAGAATAGCAAGTTAGTGTTCATTATTAGGCACGTGGCTCATGGAAGAAACATCTCTCACTCAGTGCTGACACAACAGCAAAAGCTTGCTTTCCTGGACCCTCAACCTCCCAAGTAGCTGGGATCGTGTGGTCCACTGCAAGCAGTCAATAAGTAATTTTATATAGATACAACATTTTACAATAGAAAGTAAATAAGATGAATCTTACCAATGACTCAATTTATTAGAAAAGTAAGAAACAGTTATTTGTAAGAGATGAAAAATGGAGAATTTGGAAAATGAAGGACAAGAACAGATTGCCACAAAGCATTTCAGGGTTCAACATGGCCTAAGGGTACACTCTAAAGGAGATTTCTTTCTACTCAAAAAAACTTTACTACACACAAAGACATGTAAACCAAACTGGTCATGTTCTCTTCCCCAATCCCAGCTGTCAGAAACCAGAACACTTTATAATCAAAATTGGTCAATGTTATAGCCAACAGATCTTCAGGCAGCATCATCTTTATTCTTATGCTGGAGGGAATAAATCCTACTTTGTTCTTATGGCATCTGGTAGAGTAATACTTCAATAGGTCTTCCAACACATTTTTTTTTTTAAACCAAAGTTATACTTTATAATTCCCACATTTCCCCTATACTAAAGATAAAATTCCCACTGAGGTAGGTGTAAATATCAGATAAACACAAATTTATCCAAAAGTCTTCAGAAATTATGCAAGGTGCATAATACATATCTTAGAAACAATCTATATTTTACCACATCACCTTACCATTATTATTTTGGAGTTTACTTTCATTCCACCTTTTAATTTCACTCTCTCAAACTATACTTCTTTTGAAATTAGTAACAATGTCTTAAAATTACAAAACATCAGCCCTCACCAAATAAAAAAATAAATAAATAAAACAATTACAAAACATCTATTGTGCCCAATTAAGATTCCTGTTTTGTTAGCAGTGCTGGCGATTAGACCCAGGGCCTCATGCACGCTAGGCAAGCACTCTATCACTAAGCCCTCATTTTAGAGTTAAGGCAATTTTAGCTTCACTTTTAACTAGCTAAGGATAATAAACCATGCCAAATCAAAAGAAATTCTAACAGAAATAAAATCAGCAGCTATATAGAGAACAAGGAGACAATCAACACAAAGACTTTATCTTACCTCTTGAAAAATATTTAATGATGCTGATGAAGATGAACTGTCAAAGCTATGAACAATCCTATTACACCAATTCAGTAGATCCCTTAAAAAAAAATTAAGAAATAAAAAATCTTACACCAAAAACATCAGAGTTTGTTAAGGACACCTGATAAATGAGTACCCCATTTTTTCTTCTAATGTGGAGACAAAAGTATTTGATGTAAGAACTTATCTCTATCAGGAAGTAACCTATCACTCATTTTCCCCCATCCATGCCAGAGAAGGTAAGAAGGAAGGAAGGAAGCAAATAACTCTGATTAAAATGAGGGGAGGGCTGGGGTTGTGGCTCAAGTTGTAGAGTGCTCGCCTAGCATGTGTGAGGCACTGAGTTTGATCCTCAGCACCACATAAAAATAAAAAGATATTGTATCCCCCCTAAAACTAAAAACATAAATATTAAAAATAAATAAATAAAATGAGGGGAGTTATCTATTCCTAATTCCTACTACTCAAAGTGGCAAGTCCAACCCTTGAAAGAGGAGAGCTGAGGCATAAAACTCATTATATGGAGCAAAATCCAAGAATGTTAATTTAAGGTCCCACATGTTAAGAAAAGAAATCCAGTTAAAGAATTATGTTAATGGCTATTATCAAGTTTGTCCTTAAAAGTTATTTTTAAAGGTAAAAATAATATTTCAGGCCTTCCTAATCAGTACCTATAGATCTGAAAAAGATCTGATCTCATGAAAATTTAATTTTCAAACTCAGCATGTCTTTCAATACCATTTAGTTCGAATTGGTAAGATCTTTTAGGGTAAGTTGCTTTTAAAATATCAACTAAACCCCCCCCCACACACACACACACACACACACAACTCAATAAAGTGTCAAGTCCAATACCTTAGAGACAATTCTCTGCCCTCAAGGATAGGTCTTTTGTTTTCTCTTCTGGCTTCTGAAACTTCCGCAGATGCCTCTTTACCTTCAATACAATTATCACTTGGAGAGTGATGTTTCTCTCCAGTAAGCTCAATATAAATGTCAAGCAGGTGATCAGCAGCTTCCAACAGGCTGGGATATCTGCTCTGAAGAACCTGTCAACAGAGGGAGGAAAAAAGGAAAGAAAATTTCACAGCAAGCATAGTAATTTTTAAAGTACACACAGCCCTGGGTGCGGTGATACACACCTCTAATCCCAGAGGCTTGGAAAGGTGAGGCAGAATTACAATTTATAAGGCCCTAACATCTTAGTGAGACCCTGACTCAAAACAAAAACAAAAAAATAATTTTTAAATGCTGGGGATATAGCTCTGAATTCCAACACATAGGGTTTAGTGATAGAGTGTTTACCTAACATGCCTAAAGCCTAGGTTTAATCCGTAGTACCACAAAATAAAAATAAAATAAAATGTACACATAAACTACTGCTGACACTAGTTAACCAGAAAGTGTATTTCTCTATGAAATTTGTCATCTTTACCAAGCATAAAAATTTAAACCTTTAAACCTTTATATTCCTCTGGTCCTACCTGCCCTCTCAAATGCCATGGCTTTTTTTCCTACCTCAAACTCAGTTATCCGGCAATCTCACCATCTATAACACAGCTTTCAGGGTTGAAGTTAGATGGTAAAAGGGTCTCCAAGCAACCAAAACAGGCATGTAGGCTGGTGATGCAGCTCAGTGGCAGAGCACTTGCCTAGCATGTATGAAGCCCCAAGTTTAATCCCCAAACAATGCCACCAAAATAAAAGTATCCAAGGAATTACTTAATAAAGAATTCTTCAAGAACTATTTACTATGGTTCCAAACAATTCTAGTAAGGTTCATTACACACTTTCTCAGTCAAAAGTAAATTAGAAGCAGTTATGAGGACACAGAAAAACAGTTTTTCAAAAGGCCACAAGTTAATGCTAATGCTGATAAAAAGCAATGGAACTTAAAAAGAATTCATAATGCAAAAGATCTAAGTCCCATTCACTTCAATTACTACTGAGAATTTACTGCAGTATTATACTTGGAATTCATAATATTAACTCCAAGCCTTTATGTTGATATGAAACAGTCAAATTTGTTTAAGAAGGCATGAAACTACGTATATATTTGAAATATTAACCATCCAATACATTTAAATTAGTTTGAGAAGAACATTGTGATTCCAATTTATATATGTAATATCCACATATTTATAAAGGATATAGAACTCAAGGTCTAATAGTGTCATCGAGAGGTAGATATTATTTCTTCATACACATACACACACTTTTTTTTTATTTGGCAGTACTGGAGATGGAACTCAGGGTCTCATGCATGCTAGGGCAGCAATGTATCATTGAGGTATATCCCTTCTGTGTTTGAATGACCAAAATAGTCTAGACACAAATTCAGATGCTTCATACACACTTAAAAGTATTTTACGCAGTATCTTTAGTGTGCCTGCATTTTAACTACCTCCCAACACATGAGGTCAGACGTGACATTTTTTGCTTGTGGTATGATGTCAATGTCCAAAGGTTCTAAATTATAAAGCATTCTGGGTTTCAGATTTTTAGATAAGTTTGTATAGGTTGAGCATCCCTTAAAAACTTCATGTAAGTTTGGAACTTTTCATAATAAAAAGTAAGAAAAAAAATTAATATTTTCTTGTACCACATACCTCATTTAGTTCTTTCTTATCCAGATTATCCAGGTGAATTTTGGTCCAATATTTGTCTAACAAAGTGGCATGACTATTTAGTGGTCGATACCAATTACCTCCACATGTCAAGAGTCTATATTCAAAAATATAGTTACATATCAGCCGTTTGAAATTTAATTTTAATTAGGTTACAGTAGATCTTACCTATCTGTGGGGCATACATTCCAAGACCAACTGTGGATGCATAAAATCATGGTCAGTACCAAACACCACATGTTTTTTCCTATATTCATATACCTATGATAAAGTTTAATTCCCAAATTATTCACAGTAAGAAGATTAATAACAATGACCTGAGCAATAGTAGAGCAGTTACAACAATATTCCATAATCAAAGTTATTTAAAATTTAAGAAATGTTTACAAAATCTAGAATTTTTTATTTAATATCTTCAGACCTCCTGCTGCCTACTGAGCTAATTAAATTCATAGAAAGTAAACTGCAGATGAGAAGGCAATTATTACTTGCTGGACATTACCTCACATAAATAAATACTCTTAATCCTTTCTAGTGCCAGATACTACTCTGTTGGCTTATAGGGTAGATGACCAACAAAAGGCTAACAGTTGACCCATATTTGACTCTTTTCCTAAAAAGGAATGATAGAGTTTTAAGTTGTTTTCAAAAAAATGTAAATGAGTCCATGAGGTGCTTTGATCTCAATGACCTGTTCATCCTTTAAGCATAAATACCTTCAGAAAAACATAATCCAAGAACTACAGCATTAACAATAATTCACTGCTTGCTACCAGAAGCTACCATACTTGAAAATTATAAAAATTTTCCCAAGAAGAGAGGATTATATATTCAACATACACTCTGGACAAATTACATGCTTACACATTAGCCATTTGATCCTCACAACAACTGTCCTGAAGAGAGGTGCCATTATTTTCTTCTAATGTATATGGAAAAGAATAGTAATAATCCGTTGTTCACCAACCACAACTATAAATGATAGGACTAAGAGCTGAATTTAAGTCTGTCTGATATCTAGGTTGCCTGACATGATGTCATGGGACTTTCTAAGAAAAACTTCGTTATCTGTGTAATTTAAATCAACTTACATTAAAAGCAATAGGGGTTGGCGTGGTGGTGCATACCTATAATCCCAGCAACTTGGGAAGCTGAGGCAGGAAGATCACAAGTTCAAAGCCAGCCTTAGCAACTGAGTAAGGCCCTAAGCAACTTGATGAGACCCCATCTCAAAATAAATAAATAAATAAAATAAAAAGGGCTGAGGATCAATCTCTGACACAAAAAAATAAATAAATAAAACCATAATGTTGACTGGGGTGTAGTTCAGTTGCCTACCATGTTCGAGGCCCTACGTTCCTCCCCAGCACAATGAAAAAAAGAAAAAAGTGTCAACAGAGTCTGGCAAGGTGCTTCTTGAGTATAGTTAGGTTAGCCCCATACTTCATCTTGGAGTCAATCTTTACTCAGGCAAACACTAATGTAATCATTAAATATATAATGTTAGTTTCATATGTGGGTATTTTAAGACCTTGCAGAAGCAGGAGTACATTAACATAAAAAAAGAAACTGTTGCCTTCTTGGTATTTTAAAATGTGGATAGAAACATACCAAATCTGCTGTTTTATTTCTTTTTTCCATCCTATATTTAATTAAATTTTTTAATTGCTTAAAATCTACATAACATCTTCATCATGATTAGCCATTAATCGGGTGTTTACCCTATGATAGGTAATGCAAATCACACTATTTGAAAAAGAAATGATTAGCCTCAATGTATTCATACTGTTTAGAAGGTATATGCAGGTACTAAATGTCAGTGTCAGGACTCAACTCAGGACTCTCTGACGATAATCTCACCTCTGATTATTTTTGAAAACAAGATAAAATGTTTAAAACTGACTATTTTTAAATGAAAAAACAAATAGTTCATTTTATAAATTAATTTTCTTCATTAAATAAAATCAGGAATGAGGGCTGGGGCTATATAGGTCAGTGGTAGAGGACTAGCCTAGCACATGAGAGGCACTGGGTTCCATCTCCAGCACCACATATAAATAAATAAATAAAAATGATTTATGTATGTGTGTAAAATCAGGAATGAGAAAGTTGGCTCTCTCATCATTTCTAATTAACCCTGCTTAAAATAGGTTCAGATAATTATACCAGGGTTTCTAGACTCAGCATTAAGACACATGATAAAGAGGCTGCAGAGCTGAAACAAAGGTTAATAGCACATACCTCCTGGTTGCAAAAAACTGAAATCCAGGAGCCACTTTCAGACAGTCCCCTTGGCCAGGAATCAAGAGTTGTCCATTCTCCAAAAGCGGGATCAGCACTGAAACCTAAATAACAAACTCCACTGATAAACAGATATTAAGACAAGTAACAAAAACCAAAACAATCCAAATGAGGAACACATCTTTAGAAGAAACTTCAGTTCTCATGATGGAAACTAGGATCAAATGCAGGTGGGAATGTCCAAGTCACCTACATTCCAGCGTAACACTTACTTCATGCAACATTCACTAAGTGCCTTCTGTGGATTAGAACTAAGCAACATACAATGATACAAACAGTATTAAGATTTTAGATCCTAAAATTTGATGGGAGACGATAAGCATGGCTCCAGGGGTATACATACAAGGTGACATGTGAAAAGAAATGGTGGCTCTGAACTGATATGAACCGATTTAGAAACAGGACAATGAAGCTGTCCCCAAAGTAATCTTATTTGCTCAGTATGAAAAGAAATAGCTACATTTGGTAGGAAAGAAATGGCATAAACAATGGCATTAAGGATGGAAAAGAATGTGAAAATGGAGCCGGATAAAGAGGTAAAGTTCAGACATAGGGAATAAAAAGCCTCCAATGCTGGGCTAAAAAGACTGAGCTTTTTCATGACAAAAATAAGTATCGAGAGTATTTTAGACTAAGAAAAAACTTTTATTTAAAAAAAATGAACTGTGCAGCAATGTGGAATATAAACTGAAAAGAGATCAGCCTAGGGGAAATAAGAGTTACTCAGAGAAAAAACTCTATGTTACAAAGGCATGCTAGACAGATAAATAAAATGAGAAGCCCAGTGCTAAGGCAGTAGGATAGAAAAGAAGAGAGCAGGATAGGAAAGAAGTGGGATAGAAAGAAGACGACAAGTGAATAACGGATCTGGAAATTAAATGAGAAAAGAAAAAAACCTAGATGATTCTAGGTTCTGGCATAGTAACTGCAGGGCAGAAAAAGCTATTCTAAGAGAGAAGACAAGTACCAATTTGGACATCTTGAATTTATACTGGCTATGGAACATTCAAGTAGAATTCTTTTTTTTTGGGGGGGGGGGGTTGAGATAGGGTTTCATTATATTGCTTAGACTCTCTAGGGTTCAAGTAATCCTCCTGCCTTAGCCTCCTAAGTGATTACCACCAAACACAACCCAAGAAGAGATTTCCTTTTTTAAAGAAAGTCAATTAGACATATGGAGCTTATGGGTTTACAGGGGAAGTTTGTTAAAAAAGAGAGGGAGGGAGGGAGGGAAGAACAGAGGGCCAAAGCGGATTGTTCTAATTTAGCAGGTACTAATTTTTCTTAGCAAAATTATTTTATACGTAGCTAGAAGCTGAAGGGAAGCACAAAAGAATATAGGGGCAATTCCAGGATATTCCAAAACTTGAAACTAAAGAAAATCATCCTAAATATTTGTAAAAGGTAACTTTAAATTAATGGGTCAGAAATGTGGATGTAGATCAGTGGCAGAACACTTGCCTAGCAAGTGTGAGACCCTAAGTTGGATCTCAACACTGTTAAGAAAAACAAATAAGAAAACCTAAGCCTAACCACACTAAAATTTTGTGGTTTTCTTTTTTTCCTTAGGCAAGAGATGTGTTTTGTTTTCTTTTTTTTCCTTAATAGTTTTTCCAACCTGTAGTTTTGTTAACATGTTTCAGTATATATTTTGTAATTAGTTGTCACTACAGTGTTGGGGGGGGGGGGGACAACCCTTCTAAGTCTCCAGTAAACTTGGCAGAGTATGTCAACAATTTTTTTTTTTTTTTAATATTTGCAAAGCATATAATCCAGCAACTTAGAGAAAACAAACAGAGCTATTACTTGGGTACAGGCAAATGTCCATAGATTAAGAATATTCAGTATATTAACTTCTACAATGATAATTGGAAGACAAATCTAGCTGGCATAGTGGTGCATGCTTATAATCCCAGTTACACAGGAGGCCAAGACAGGAAGATCACAGGCCTGGGCAACTTAGCAAGACCCCATCTCAAAAAATAAAAAGGAAAAGGGCCAGGATATAGCTCAGTGGCAGAGTGCCTCTGGGTTTAATCCCCAATACAAGGGTAAAAAAAAAGACTAACTTACTCAGTTTGAAGATTCATAAATACTTATCCCAAAGAACTAACATTAGAGCATCATAGAAATACTAGAACAGATGGCAAGACATCAAAGTTAGCATCACAACTACTGTAGCTGAGATCTAAAAAATAAACCACAGATTTACAATTGTGTGCACAAGCACACACAAGGTAACCTGGTCAACTATTGTTGAGAAGTTCTAAAAATAACAAAATAATAATCAAGGGATCCTTGTATGTTCTTAAGTAAATACAACTTCACTATAATGATAATGAAATCCAAAAATGATTAAACCATAAACCTTCTGGAAACAAATGTGTTACCAGGAAAATGATCTGTACAAAATGAAACTCGAACTATAAGAATTTCCTAATGTTTATTAAGCACTGCAAAAGACCAAGTCAGAAACTGTTAATTTGATCTTTAATCTAGACTTGGGCAACACAAAAATGTACTCAGGTGTGGGACAGGGGCAGATGCCTAGGCATCATCATGGCCTACATGGAATATCCTTCATTTTATTTACTTTTCTTTGGTTCTAATTCCAAAATCTACAGGTCTAATGATTTTCCAGATAATGTGATATCTGAAAAAAATTGTCCATGAAGGCAGGCACTCAAAAAAGGATAAAATCAACAAGTACTTTTAAACTAGTTTTATTTATATTTCAATTTTATTTTTTTAAACTCTCATGGGTAGAAGTCAGCTCTAGTTCTGGGCTTCTTAAGAAACATCATTTTTTAAAAAATGAAACACCACCCCCAGTCACTATTAACAAATGACCTCAAAAACAGAAGAGATGTTATAGGAAACAGTGATTTAGTAAACTGACATACCACATCTAAGGGGGCATAGTCAATATCCTCCAGAAGAATCCAATGGCCCTTGGTGGCTGCCTGTGTCAGGGTGCCAGGCTGCCACACAAACTCTCCAGGAACATCTGTGCAGCGATACATCCCCAATAGCATCTGCAGAAGAAAAACAAAATAATTAGAGAAACCACACTCCTAATATGCTAAGACTACTTCCTTTGATTAATTCTGTGAATCATTCCATAGCGATGTCATCAATTAAAGTTTTCACAGATTGCCCCAACAGTCATGAGCAAGAGTATTACCCATTTTTATATTCCCTTAGCAAAAACAATACTTGAATGCCAATAGTTACAAGAATGCCAAACCACCAACGCTTGCCATTTCTTAATTACCTTACTGTCAGTCTGATCTCCAAGCTGGACTTTGAGAAGCTGAGGAGGCTTTCTTCTACCTGTCATTGAAGCTAAATGTTCAACTAAGGAAGTTTTGCCACATCCTATTGGTCCTTCCAACAACACAGCATTCTGAGAAGCCACTGCCAAAGCCAGGGTCTGAAGATTTTTGCAGACAGACTTAACCAGCACATAAGATCGAAGGGCCAGCTCTTGTTCTCGTGAAGAACTCCTATTACTAGCCTAAGGAGGAGACAAAAAACAAACAAACAAACAAAAGTCAGTGAAGAGTACTTCCCCTAAGGAAACAAGTTAATTTCTACAACACATAAACCTTGGCTAATAAATTAATTATAACAAATCTAATGTAAGAAGTATGTTATACAAAGTAAGAATCTGACCTTTCTTCTTTCCCTTCTTGAAGGAGGAGTACGTGTGAAAATGGAAGAAATTTTTTTAGTATTTATTTTAGTTATAAGGAGACAAAACACCTTTATTTTATTTTTATGTGGAGCTGAGGATTGAACCCAGTGCCTCATGCATGCTAATGAGTGCTCTACCTCTGGGCTACAATCCCAGCCCTGGAAGTAGAAATTTTTAACAAATTTAAGTCAATGTCTCTCAAAGTTTTAAGAAGCTAAAAATGTTGATGCATGGGGAAGTGGGCTCAGCAAACCTCATCTATTACTGCTGGGTTTGTGTTTATTTCCTTCCTCTCCCCATATTCTAGAACTTCATATCTAACATTAAGAATGCAGGGATTGGAGCTGGTCACAGTGGCACATGCCTGTAGTCCCAGCAGCTCGGGAGGCTGAGGCAGGAGGATGGCGAATTCAAAGCCAGCTTCTGCAAAAGCAAGGTGCTAAGCAAGTCAGTGAGACCCTATCTCTAAATAAAATATAAAACAGGGCTGGGGATGTGGCTCAGTGGTTTAGTGTCCCTGAATTCAATCCCTGATATCCCTACCCCCCCACCCCACCACCCCCACACACACACAAAAATAAAGAATGCAGGGATTGGGGATGAAGATAGGTGGTAATGTATACTCAGCACAGGTTGGACCCCTTCCCTCAAAAAAAGAATGCATTCATTGGGGAAATATGGACACCAAGAGAATATCATAACATTGTTAGATTTTTTTTTTTTAAGGTATAGTAAGTGTTGGCATTAAGTCTTTCTTTTGGAGATAAATACTGGAATATTTATGAATGAAATGATATTGGAAAATTTTGCAGAAATATAAAGGAAACAACTGATTATGAATAGATTACTATTTAAGCTGGGTGAAAAGTATTTAAGGATTCATTATACCATTCTTCCTACTTTGGAACATGTTTGGCATTTTTCATTAAAAAAAAGTAAATACTATGTTTACTGGATAAATGTAGAATTTCAGTCAAAAGATGACACAGTTCTAAAGATAAAGTTCTAATTCTAGATAAGGTCACATTAAAAACCTGGAGGTACAGGTTTCTTAGTGCTGGTCATACAGATACATTCAATTTATGAATAATTACTTCACTAAACACTTATGACATGTACACTTTCGTATATGTATACTTCTATATTTTTTCTTTCTTTTTAATGCTACATGTCAGAAACAAACTGATGTTTTAAAGGCCTCAAGACTTGTTTCCAAGAAGAAAGTGGGTAGATCTGATCACCAAAGTGATGACTGAAGACTGCTAGAGAAAATCAGACTGTGTCCCAATGATTCTCCCAGCCTGTCTAAAGTGGTCTAGAGCCACAATCTTGGAAGAAGATCATTTCATATGGCAGCAGGGAAGAAACACAACACATACTGCTCTCCCACACAATGGGCAAAGAATATTATGATAGAACTAAGGACAGGAGTTCTCTCTATTCTAGCTCTGTCTTCGCCAGTCTTTGCAGTCCAAGGTTCTCCAAGTCATTCTGCTTTGTGTTTCATATATTTAGGATAACAAATGCTACTCAATTTCATACAATTTTTGTAGTAAACAAACAAGATATGTGAAAGAATTTTGCTTAAGTTTTTTGTTTTTTTAGTGCTAGGAACTGAACCTAGGGCCTTGCACATACTGGGGAAGCACTCTACTACTGAGCTATATATCCATCCCTCTTTTTTTCCCTTTGTTTCTTTTAATTTCTCCCTTGAACACTTTCAAAACTGGACCAGCAACTTGGATCACACCTGATTCATAAGAGCCCAACTAAGGAAGGAGCATACTCAGTGTTTCAGAGGGGAAAGGGAGCACATACCCTACTAATAATGCTAATATACCTGCTCTCCAGGGGCCGGAGGCTGCTTGGGCAATACCACACCACATACTGCTGTCACCCTGGAGGAGAGGTCAGCTGAAATAAGGTGTCCTTGTAGGTATTGCAGCTCCTTATCCTTATGCCAAAGGGAGGCTTCTGGATTGGCCAAAACCAAGGCCTTCTCTAAGTCCTGCAACTGGGCTTCTTCTAATAACCTGAGGGAAGAATCTCATCAATTATGTTATTGTACAAAAAAGTTACAGCAAAACCTAAAAGAAAGCTTTTGCTTACCTCAACCTGAAGTGGATCAATTCATCACTATTAAAAATCTTCTTAAGGAATGATAACTTGTGCTCTTCATTCATATAGGTGACCAAGGCAAGACAGTTGGCTGTGTACCTGGAGAAAAAGGAAGTACATATGTATAGCTGATCTGCAGTTGACTGGGAAAAAAAGAAAAAGAAAGAAAATGACTAGTCAACTGAACACTAGAGAATAAATGTGTTATTTAAGAGTAAATAAATCAATCATGAAATCACTTGATAAGAGCATGAAAAAGGTAGAACCACACTCACATCACCTCATTTTTTTTCTGAAGTGACACAAGATGAAGGAACGAGAGTAAGAACTCAAAAGCCACAAGAACAAAAACAACAGATTGAACATGGTTTCCTTCTCCTCCCTCACACTATAAGCAAAGGAAAAATCTAGCAGCTACTCACCAACGGACCAAAGTGTCATGGCTTCTGAGGAGGGGGACACATACACTCCAGTCCCAGAGTTCCCGGAACACAGAGTGCTCTTGCTGCAGAAACTTGTAGGCTGCTTCCATTAAGTCCCGAAGTTTCATCCGTCTTCGCCCATAGCGAACTGGATTAGCATCTGAACTCTCCAAGAAGAGTCTTTGAAAGACTGGGAAAGTGTCCTTGAAATACCTCAGGGCAAACCTTCAGAAAAAAAGAGTATTTTCATTGGCTGGTGGAAATATTCAAGTACATATCTCTACTCTGAGACAGGACTGTAGAACATAACAGAACTTTTAAGAATACAGGGAGGAAAATGCTAAAATTACCTAGTCCTATGACCAAACTGTTTAAGTTCAGGAACCACAGGACCATGACATGGGATAGCTGATTCAGAGGACACAAAAACCTAAACTGATTACTCAAAAAGTAGAGGGATTTATCGCAAGTATTTATTACTAAAAACGTACGCATTTCCAACAAACATTTACTGAACTGTCACTATCGGCCAGACACTGTGTTAATACCTGAAGATTCAAAACCAAAGAGATATTTTTCTTAAGAATTCTGCCATCTGATAAAAAGAGAACACTTACAAGAAAAATAAGAAGCACAAAGAGAAAGAGTTCAACTGAACCTGGGGAAGTTGAGAAAAGATGCTTTAACTGCATCTTAAAGAATGAAGAGGAGAACCTTGTGAGAGCATAAAGAAAAAGGACATTCCACTAAGATAAAACAAAAAGTTCAAAAAGTTGGTCATAGTGGTACTTGCCTGTAATCCTGGCTATGCAGGAGTCTGAAGTAAGAAGACTGCAAGTTCAAGGTCAGCCTGGGAAACTGAGCAAGACCTTTTCTCAAAATAAAATATCAGAAAGGACTGGGACATAGCTCAGTGGTAGAGCACCCCTGGGTTCAATAGCCAGCATCATACACACACAAAAGTTCAATAAGACATCTTCAGGAAACTGCCTGGTATGATAGTTGAAAACAGAAAGATGTTGATAGGCAGGAAATGAGGTGCTGAAGGAGGGCAAGGGCCAGATTATAAAAAGCTTGGGAGGCCATGGTAGAGATGCTGGGCCTTAAAAATTAAAATGTTTTCCACACAGCTATATTCTTCTATTAGAAATTCTAATAGACTTCATAAGAAATAGTGGCACAAAATCAGTCATACAGGCTTTTTATCTGTATACTCAAAAGGGATGAGTGACCCTAGGATTTTGAGTTGGGCTGATCAATGAACATCTTCCCCCAAGTCTATTCTGTGAAGACTGAAAAGCAGTTGTTTCTCCAAATGCCCAAGTCACAGCAACAAAAAAATCTCAAGGCATACAAAGAAGCAGGGAAACAGACTAAAATCAAAGGAAAAGAAAATTCCAGAAACAGGGATTGAGAATGGAGCTCACTGGCAAAAGCTCTGGGTTCAATCTCCTTCACCCAAAACAAACAAACAAACAAACAAATAACTGCACTGGTAACAAACTAGAAGTGTTAGAACTCTATAGGAGTAGAGATTTTGTATTTGAATGAAATTTATCAGTTTGAAACAAAATATCTTTGACATATTAAATGACAACCATTAAGAAAACATCTATAACACACAGACACACACAAAATCAAAACATGTCACTATCAAAAAATTCATGAAAACACTAAGGCTGCCAGAAAAGACCACAAAAGTTAGAAGACCTGCAGAAAACAAATAACAAGATAGCAACAGTAAATCTTTTTGCATAAGTGACCACTTTAAATAAAAATGGGTTAAACTCCTCATTCAAAACACATGGATTAGGCTGGGGAGTGGCATACACCTGTAATCCCAGCAACTCTGAAAGCTGAAGCAAGAGATCAAAAGCTGGAGGCCAGCCTTAGCAATTTAAGGCCCTATCTCAAAATAAAATAAAAAGGGCTAGGGGTGTGGCTTATTGATAGAGGACCTCTGGGTTCAATCCCCACTACCCATCCCCACACACATGTACAAAGACATGAATTAGGTAAGTAGAGAAAAAAACAGGATTTAATTATACGCTATCACAAAAAGATATAGAATGAAAGTAAAAGAATAGGGACAAAATATCATACAAATGATAACCAAAACAGGTCCTAATGGACAAAATAGACTTTATGGTACTGGGGACAGAACACAGGGCCTCATGGATGCTAGGCAAATACATTTCAACTGAACTACTTTCCCATTTCTTTTTATTTTCAGACAGGGTTTTGTTAGGTTGCCAAGGCTTGCCTCAAACTTGCTATTCTCCTGCTTCAGCCTCCTGAGTAGCTGGAATTACAGTTGTGTACCACTGCACCAGCACCACAATAACAGAACAACCAGAAGGAAACAGAGTACTTGAACAACACTAGAGACCAACAAATTAGACTTAACAGCCCTTACAGAATACTCCACCCTAAGAGCTGAATATACATTATTTTCAAGTACATATGGGATATTCAGGGATATCCCTGGACATAAAACAAGTTTCAACAAGCTTAAATGACTGAAAAGTATCCTTTCCTAATGGAATAATTCCTAAATCAGTAAAAGAAACAAAACTGGAAAAGCTAGACAATAGTGGAAATTAAGCAACACACCTGTAAACAATGGGTCAAAAAATGCATCACAAGGGAAATGTAAAAATACCTTAAAAAAAATGAAAACAAAAACATGACATACCAAAACTTTTGGAATGCAAGAAATTGTTAACAAGGAAGTTTAGAGTTATATACATTAAAAAAGAAGAAAGATCTTAGATTCATAACTTTCTTTACACCAAGGAGCTTGCAAAAGAACAAATTAAACATGAAATTAACAGCAGAAATTAATGAAATAGAGAACACACACACACACAAATCAATGAAACTGAGAGTTGATTTTTTTTTAAAGAAAAACAAAATGGCAAACACTTAGATTGAGGAAAAAGAATACTCAAAAGAACTAAAATCAGAAATGAAAGAAGAGACATTATAACCAATGCCAAAAAAATAAGGTATCAAAATGAAAACTCTGGCAGGGCGCAGTAGTGCACATCCATAATCTCAGCAGCTCAGGAAGCTGAGGCAGCAGGATGGTTGAGTTCAAAGCCAGCCTCAGCAAAAGCGAGGTGCTAAGCAACTAAGTGAGACTCTGTCTCTAAATAAAATACAAAACAGGGTTGGGGATGTGGCTCAATAGTCAAGTGCCTCTGAGTTCAATCCCTGGTAAATCCTTACCCCCCAAAAAAGAAAACTCTGAACAACTGTGTGCCAACAAACTGGACAGTCGAGAAAAAATGGATAAATTTCTAGAAACACATACAACCTACCAAGACAACTAGAAAATCTGAACAGACCAGGAATTAGGTAAAGAGAATGAATCATAAAACCTCCCAGCAAAGAAAAGCCTAAAACCAGATGACTTTACTAAAAATTCTACCAAACATTTAAAGAATGTTTACATAAGGTTTACAACTAAACATTATGAGTGATCCCTAATGTAATTAAGGATCTGGGTGATTATCACACTTAAATGTAGGTTTGTCTTTGTAACAAATGTACCATTCCTGTGGGGGATGTTGATTAATTAGGAAGCTATGCATGTGTGAGTAAAGGATACTTATGGCAAATCTCTGTACCTTCCTCTCGATTTAGATATTAAACTAGAACAAGATGGATGTGGTGGCATACTCCTGTAAACTCAGTGTCTGGGGAGGCTGAAGCAAGAGGATCTCAAGTTCAAGGCCAGCCCCAGTAACTTGGTGAGACCCTGCCTAAAAATTTTTTTAAAAGTGGGGCAGGGAGCTGGGGATGTAGCTCAGTGCTAAAGTGTACCTGGGTTCAATCCCCAGTACCAAAAACAAAAACAAAAAATGAATAGCTCTATTCTTAAAAATAATAATATTTTTAAGTGTATTCTATTTTACATCTGAGGTGCCCCCTTTCCAAGCTCATGTGTTATACAAGACCATAAGATTCAGAGGTGAAATGAGTATGCCATGAGACCCTTAACTTTTTATCAGAGCCTTAATCCAGATGAATGGGTTAAATGGGTGGTAACCATAGGCAGGTAGGATATGGCAGGAGGAGGTGGGTTATGGAGGAGTGCCTATGGGGTATGTATTTTGTCCCTGGTCTGCAGTGTTTCTCTTTCTCTGCTTCCTGGTTCCATGTCCTGAGTGGGCTTTCCTTCTCCACACCTTTCCACCATGATGTTGTGCCTCACCTCTACCCAAAGCAACAAAGATGAACATCTATGGACTGAGACCTCTGAAACCATGAGCCCAAAATAAATTTGCCTCCTCTAAAAATATTCTTGTCAGGTCTTTCTGTCACAGCAATGTAAAAACTGACTAACCAAAGGTTGTTTTTTTTTTTTTTTTTTTTTAATTTTAATAAAACTTTTACTTGAAAAGTGTGTCTACAGGGTTGGGAATGTAGCTCAATGTAAAGCACGTCTGACTAGCATGCATGAGGCCTTGGGTTCAATCTCCAATACCAGAAATAAAACAAAAAACAGTGTACAAGTTTTCTAAACTTGACTGTGGTGATAGCTGCTAATATATGAATTTTTAAAAAAAATTGCAAACTAAGCATGATGGTCTTCAAAATGTATGTATATAAATGTATCATATGTGTCCACTGTCTCATGTGTGCAAGAGTGAGAATGATGTCTATTGGGCTGGAGGTGGTAGCACACACCTGTAATCCCAACAACTCAAGAGGCTGAGTCAGGAGGATCACGAGTTGAAGACCAGCCTCTGCAACTTAGTGAGGTCCTAAGCAACTTAGCAAGATCTTGTCTCAAAATAAAAAATAAAAAGAAGGGCTGGGATGTTTCTCAGTGATTAAATGCCCCTGGGTTTAACCCCCAATACAAAAAAAAGAGAGAGAGAGACTTTTGGGAAGAAAAAGACACATTGAGTCTCAAAAGAGAAGGATCCATGAAACCTTGAAATGCAGAAAGCACCAATGAACTTCCAAAATGCAAAATATAGCATTCTGTGAGCAACCCAGCCCATGTCCTCAGCCTTTGGTCCTCAATGTTGGTTGCCTGTCTTTGCCTACAAAAAGTAACAAGATGGGGACAATGAGCAAACATTAGAAAAACTGGCTCAAAACTGTGTAACTCTTCTCTGACTCTACTAGTTCAGCCCCCAGCTATTGCTCTTTTATAAATATTTCCCCATACCAAAGTGTTACTGTCTTTCCCTCTGGAGATGATCCACATT